GCCTGTGTAGTTTTCACACTTGCTGAGATCGCCTTTCTTTGGTATTTTGATCATGTATCCTTCTTTCCAATCTGATGGTACTTGTTCCTCATCCCAAATCTTCTTGAAGAGAATGTGAAATATTTTCGCAGTTGCTTCCACATCTGCTTTCATTGCCTCTGCTGGAATGTTGTCTGGTCCTGCTGCTTTGCAGCTCTTGATTTGTCTGACGGCCATACTGATCTCCTCAATCGTAGGTGCGCCTATATTAATTGGGAGGTCCGTGGATGCTGCTTCGATGTTGGGTGTGCTCAGTGGAGCTGATGTCTTAATATCCAGTGTTGTCGATTCCAACCTTGGCATTCAGGTCTCCCATAAGAATCGTCAAATCCTTTGGTGAACATTTATCGACGATTGACTGCAGCCTTTCGTGGTATTGATCTTTAACGTCGTCATTGTAGTCATTGGTTGGTGCATAACATTGGATGACGTTCATTGTAATGTCCTCTTTCTTTGTTTTGAAGGATGCTTTAATGATCCTGGGTCCATGAGATTCCCATCCTATCAGTACCTTTTGTGCATGTTTGGACAGCATCAGTGCAACTCCTTGTGTATGTGAAGCATTTTCCTCTTCATGACCAGAGTATAACAGTAGTTCCCTTGAAGCTAGTCTCAGTTGTCCTGCCTGTGTCCAATGTGTTTCACTGATGCCGAGCACCTCTAGGTTGTATCTTTTCATTTCTGCCGCAACTTGAAATAGTCTTCCAGTCTCCCACAATGTACGAACGTTCCATGTACCTAAAAAAATGGTTGCTCTGGTTGTCAGAAGAGGCATCGGCCCCGTGACTTCCGAGGGAACTCGGCTTTCATCACGCGACATCATAATTCTTCTTGCAACTGCCAGTGCAGAGTTAAAATGGTTTGAATTATTTTTTTTCTGGTTAGCGTTTTTTGGCAAGTCCGTTTTCTGACGGAATGGGGTCGCCAACCCGAAGACCAATCACCCTCCTTTATCCGGGCTTGGGACCGGCAGTAGCCCTGAAGTTTCTACTGGCGGAGTTAATATGCTTGTTATGCTGATCACATGTTACCAAAGTTGCCTCGAGAGCTCAGTTTCGAGGAGACAGTAATGCAGCTGTCAGATATTTTCGGCGAATCATCTTCATTGTCTAGTATTAAATATCAGTGTCTAAATCTGGTGAAACACAAAGATGATGAATATGCGGTCCTTGCAGTCATCGTCAACAGAGAATATGAACGGTTCAAGTTACGCTCTTTGACATATGACCAATTTAAATGCTTAATGTTCATCAAAGCTCTTCAGTCACCGCAATACGCTGAGATCAGAACCAGAATTTTAACCCGACTGGATCAAGACCCGAACGTCACACTCAGAACATTGACAGATGAGTGTAAACGACTACAAAGTATCAGACACGACAACATGTTGATCGAACAGGTAAATCCTAATTTAACCAGCAGTAGTGTCAATGCTATTACCCGGTTAAAAGTCCAGAAGCCGAAAACATCATGTAACAAACCAACGATGGCATGTTGGTTATGTGGTAATTGGCATTACGTACGCTTCTGTCCATTTAAAAAACATAAATGTCAGATGTGCAACAAACGTGGGTATAAAGGAGGCTATTGTCAACCGAATCTCACGTCTCAGCCCAGGAAGAAGCACAAACGTACTCGACATGTGGTGAAATTAGCCGAGTCTAAATCACTTTCTCTCGTAGCTGCTTTTCAAACAGACTATGACGTTCGGAGAAAGTATGTTACTATCCAGATGGACGGTGCATGAGCTCGATTTCAAATCGACACGGCATCAGATTTCAACTTAATGTCTAGGGAAGCGTATAACTTGTTGGGAAAAGCGACAATGAAGCCGTCTAAGAAAACAGTTAAAACGCTTCAGGTGGTGTGTTAAAACTGGTTGGTCAGTTACGGTGTGAATTTTCCTTCAACCGAACAAAATGTACAGGAATATACTATCTGACAGAACGGCGAAACCTTGGTCTTCTTGGTCTAGATATGCTAGGAAAACTGGGAATAATGGATTTACACATTAACAGTGTCTGCAATGAATCGTGTTCATCATTGGACACCCCATTACTTACAAAGAAGACAGGTGAAAGGTTACAAGATAGACGGAAGAGGAAGTCAGCCTCTGTTTTTCAGAATAGCCTTGGCCGCTGTACGAATATGAAAGAAGGTGCCAAACCTATTTCACGTCCGAGACAGCCTATACCATATGCTGCTCATGAGCTTCAACAAAACTTATCGATGGGGAAGCGGCTCAATTAATGGTTGTTTAAAGATAAGGCTCCTACAAACAGGCGGCTCGTAAGAGTACGGGTGGTAAGGCACTCAGAAAGCAGTTGAACTATAGCACCACATCCTACGAATCTTCTCAAAGGCGAGTTATTAATGGGAAGATGGAATTAAAGCATGACTACGTTGCTGCGCGCTGATTGGCTAATTTCCTATCCAATCAGCGCCTGATCGATTCTTGGAGAACAGGGTAGAAAATTCTCGTGTTGTTAGCTGCACTCTGATTGGCTAAATCTAATCCAGTCGATCACGTGAATTACTATCCAGAAGCTTCTCATGTAAATACTATAAAGAAACTAACGTTGTATCTATTTTGCCTTCGCCTTCGGCTTCGTATTTCCATTTACCTTGCTATTTGGAATATAATCTTTTTCCTGTTCCACTGTGTTTTTGATTCTTTGGAACTTGTCCAGTGTATTGTGGTCAGAGAATACTAAGCAATAGGAATTAGCTGGGAATTATCTGAGTAAGCGTTTCAACAATAAGGATGCGAATTTATTGAATTTGTTATTGGTGTTGTGATAAAGTGCTCTTGTTAGTTCGCGGGTGTTGTTTACGGTAAAAGAGTTATTTCAGACGTTTGCCCAACCAATCCTACTATGGTCCCCGCAAAGTGTGGTGGATTTATATATAATAATTAAGGCTTTTATATGAAGACTGGATTTGACGATATTATGTTCGCTATCTGGAAAATTTTTCCCATCTGTTTCGGGTAAGAGGTTGCCGCTAAAAACTGAATCCGGTATATTGAGATGTATGGTTGGGCCGTCAAAATATTGAGTCCACTCTCCCGGCTCTAAGGATTCAATAAACTGTTCATAGCGTCTAGGTGCTTTGATCGGGAACCAAGAGATTTCAAGCAAGCTGAAGTCCCCACTAACAACCTTGCCTGTAATCGGTAGGGAGGAAGCAAACTAGGATATTTCTGACAATATTGCTAGATACCCCTTTGGTACGTTGGGCTGAAGGTAAACACATCTGAACAGTAGGAAAACTGCATTTGAGGGATTCAGAATGATCAACACAGAATCTGGTAATGAGTTTAGGCTAGGGTGGGCATTTATTAAACATTCTCCGACTCGCACCTCTAGACTATCACTTCGAAAGAGATCATAGTTTTCATAGGATTGGTTGGAGTGATTCTGTTGGTTTGTGTGCTACACCTATTCCAAATGGCTTCAGCAGTCGTGCTGTAATTTCCGATTTGTCTTCTAGATATGGTAGGATGATCCGTTCGTTGGTTTCATTTCGCTTCTGATGATGGTCATCAGTCATCAGATGACTGGTCATCCGATATTTTTCCTTGCTTTTTGTGCTTCATGTGTGCTGCAGAATGTTTTCGCTCTCTTGAACGAAGTTTGCAAGCAGTTGGTGTTGTGAGTCCTGAGTTTTTGCTACTGTAACTGAGAATAGGATGTGCGTGAGTTGGCTTCCGAAATACTTTAATCTCCACTATTTCTGTGTCAGTTCTGGTGAGTAGTGCATCGAGGAATGATAGTTTGTTGTTTGATTCCTGTTCCATCGAGTTTTATGTCATCAAAGACATTTCTGATCTGATTACAAATGTTTTCCAACTCGTTTCTTCTAGAGATGACAATGTGCCATCTACATTACGAACCCATACTTTTGGCTTGATCACCGGTAAAATCGTAGCTTCCAGTCTGTGCTAACATTTCTCATATTTGTGATCCCATTGGTGTTCCTATCTTTTGTTCGTATAATTTGTTGTTGAACTGGAAATTCGTTGTTACGCATACATCGATGAGTTCCAGTAGACTTTGACTCTGAAGTCTCAAGTACTTTGGGAGATATGTGTCGTTGGTGAGGAGCAGGAATAGAGTTTATCTAGCTAAGCTCGGTTCCTTATGGGTAACTGAGGCTATTACTTCTATGGATTTATGTGCGTCGTTTCCATTTGGATGCCTTCAGTGTGATAAATTATGGCTACCCGCTATCAGGACAAATATTTTTGGGGGTTTTATCAGCCAAGACTTGAATACTCTTCCACGTTGCCGTACAAGAGATGCTAGTTAATTGCGGCCACACGTTTTATTACTAGAGGCTTTATCTTTTTCGACATTAAGACGTTCCTGAATATGTGTTCGTATCCATTCGTTCTAAATTTAGGCAGTGTACACAAGTAGCGAGCTTCTGCCTAATGTGATTAGTGAGCTGCAGGGAAAAGCGGAAAGACCTCAATTAAGCTGAATTTCGATATCCTAAGGCTGCCTTACGACGACAGACTGGCCAGATTAGGCCTTTTTCCCTATCATATAGAAGTAAAAGACTCCTGTGACACGCCCTTTTTTATATTAAAAAACGGATAACTTAAGTGGGCATTACCGAAAACGTGCACAGGCCATCTGTCTGTCCATTATACCATGGAATGGTACTTGTTACTTCGATACATGGCAGTGCTTTATCTGTCAACGCGTCCGAAGGAAATTTTGGTCAACTGAAAGATCGGCGTTTTTAGGACTAACACAAGCCACTCATTCTCCCCCCGCTCCGAATCGAAACTCAGACTAACGACCTAAAACCATACAATTACACGGCAGCGATAGTTTAGAGAAGTCAGGTTATATTCTTCCGTTAAAAATATAGATGATGATGCAGTGCTTTGTGTTCTGTCCTCTCTGAACAATCAAAGTAATTCATTAATCATCAAAGTCAGCCGGTAATGCACTTTGTTTTATGTCATGTTCAGAGGTGGAGGTTTACGCTACGCGCTTACTTTGAACTCGATAAGCGTGGGAATCACAGATTACTAAATGGAATCAGCAGGCGGTCGCGGCGGTTTCCGTGGTTCGTTTGGAGCTAGAGGAAGGGGACGCGGTCGCGGACGTGGTCGAGGACGAGGCCGTGGCCGAGGAGCTGTGACAAAAGAATGGAAACCTGTTACACAGTTGGGTCGTCTGGTATACGATAGGAAAATTACTACGTTGGAAGAAATATACATGTTCAGTCTTCCGATTAAGGAATGTGAAATTATAGATACAATATTGGGTTCAAGTTTAAAAGATGAAGTCCTCAAAATAATGCCTGTTCAAAAGCAGACCTGTGCCGGTCAACGAACACGTTTTAAAGCAATTGTTGCCATGGGGGATCATAATTGTCATGTTGGGCTAGGAGTAAAATGTGCCAAGGAGGTCGCTACAGCAATTAGAGGCGCTATAATACAAGCAAAACTGTCTATGATCCCTGTAAGAAAGGGCTACTGGGGTAACCTGATTGGAAAACCACATACTGTCCCATGTAAGGTGACCGGAAAGTGTGGATCAGTATCTGTACGTTTAATCCCAGCCCCTCGCGGAACAGGTATTGTTGGTGCTCCAGTTCCCAAGAAACTTCTGCAAATGGCTGGTATTGAAGATGTCTATACGAGTGCTCGTGGTCAGACCTCAACTTTGGGGAATTTCGGTAAGATTATATATTGATGTTATTTCGGCTTTTAGCTAAAGCAACATACGCAGCCATACGAGCCACCTATGAATATCTGACACCTGATTTGTGGGATGTGGTCCCGAAAGCAAAACACATATTTGTTGAATATTCAGGATATCTTAACAAAGTTGCAAAAGAGGTTTGAGTAAAAATATATGTATTGTTGGACATCAGATTGTTTTGTCAATGTAAGCTTGCAGTGGTATGATCGTTTTTTCTCTCACAGATGTATTGACACGTATACATTCCAGAGGGATTCTTTCCATTGGGTTTAGACAAATAGTGTTCTATAAATAAAAACAGTTATGAAATAATTTAATGAGAGACTTTGAATTAAATCTTGTTAAAATCTAAGAGAAAACTGCAGTTTCATGACTGCAGTACTGCAGTGTTTCTCCCGAGTTGTAACAATAGTGGTAGAATCATTCATCGAGTCATCCAACACCTAGCTTTACGCTGGCACCGGGCTTATATAGTTGCATTAGTTATATATTTCGTTTAGTGTGTCCTTCACGTATAGCCAGAAGTGGCATTTGAGTTTTATGACAGTTGCTAAGTCTTCCGAGCAAATGGCATTCATTGTCGCTAAAGCTCTAGTATTTCACAACTTTTGCCACTGTGATCCTTCCACCTCAAACACAGCATTTTACGAGGTTGGTGCTTTGAACTAGTACGCACTCGGTTTTAATTATGCTTTAGCTGTATACTTAATGGGAACTATATTCTGCAATCGACTTCTCACTCTGATCTTTCTACCCGTGTATCAAGGATTATCAATAACTGTCTCGAGATACTTAGAATGTTATCGCGCTTGTCGTAACAGTACCTCAAGTTGAGGGACAGACACGTTTTATCCGTCTCACTAAGCTTTCCTTGCAACCATCTCTGGAGCTATTCGAGAAATCGCTCATTGTTGGCTTTGACTCGATTAGTTTAGTTGATTCATCTGGAAACTGAAGATATCGTATTAATAAGTTCTAGGGGTTATTCGAATTATTCCACACTCATGAAACGATCAAATACTTCAATTAAAATTTGGAATGGTAAAGTCCACTCTTACTTTGTTTGTAAAAGACATGTCAAGTTATTTAATTTGAGCTCCCTGACATTCTCTTGAAACGCTTCCCTACCGTATCTGCTACCTTGACGTGGTGGTCGGGCTTGCCTATCGTGATGATCCAGCCTAGCTATATTTGCTGGAACATATGTTCCTCAAGGTTCTACCATGCCAGGCAGGTCGATTGGAGAACAATGAGACTGAAAGCAGCTTCTCAATGTCTGAGGGCGAAGCTGTACTGCTGACTGCAGAGAGGTGTGATAGCAGTAAGGTGTTTCCCTCGGACAACCAGCATTTGCAGCGATGCTGCCTTCTCACAAGGAAGGAAGGGGTTAGAAAAGGTCGACCCTAAAAATGTCACACCTCATCCTACCCCACGGATTTCCGTCTCCAGCGGTAATTGTGTCCACCAAGGGCTTTTAAGAACGGAGCTAATCCTCAAAATACCTTTCATAAAAAGGCCGTGCGTGACCGGCCTGAAGCGGTTGTCCCGTGGGCTCTGTGGCCACGCTCCCAGGTCTCTAAGATGAACATTAATCTACCTTCCTTTTTAGGTTCATCAGGAAACACCCTTCTATGGTGTGGACAGCCTGGAAGTGACATCCGCCCTCATACCCATAACAGCATGCGAGACCGAATTGGTCAAAATTAAATCCTTCCTACACCTAATATCTCTCTTATCTCCACAATTAACTACTCACATTCCTTTATCTCCCTGCACAGCTGGTGCAAACGATTTGAGTCCTCGAAACCTTATTCTTGGTTTCTTGAAGCCCCCCGGAGCATTTAATTTACGGACATTGTGTCAAATAGGGCAACAGGCTTTCTTAGCTAGGACTTACGAATCTCGCGCCATCGATGTATGCTGCGTCTCCGAAATGCGCATACAGGATCCGAGTAGCATCATTCACTTAACCTCACCATGTCAGGATTAAGAAGCAACTCGATTTAGCCTTCGTGTATCCGGTAGCCCTGATGCTTATTCCCGGGGTCTCGCCGGTGTAGGTATAGCATTGAGTCGTATGGCAGAACTATCTCTCCTAGACTGGATCCCTGTAGATAGTTGCTTGTGCGCCGTACGACTAAGCGGGACAGTAAGGATTCGAAAGGACAGGGACAGTCGTCGTTGCCTCTTCGTCATATCAGCCTACGCCCCCACTGACTGCAGTTCAGACGATGTAAAAGATGAGTTTTACAGAAAGCTTTCAGACCTTCAGAAAGTCAAGCGCTCTGATATAGTTATGATGGCTGGTGACTTTAATGCTCAAGTAGGTAGACTCAGTGAAAGTGAAACACACCTGGGTGGATCGTATGGTGTCGCGGCTCAGAGAACAGACAATGGTGACCGTCTGTTGCAACTATGCTCAGATAACCGCCTAATTCTAGCAAACACCATTTCGAAAAAGGGTGGTCTTATTATCCATTCTCGGTCCAGGAGACTGGACCGATGGGCAGAACACAAGGGATCAGTCCAACTGGCCCCGAGCCACACTTCGGTTACCCACGATCCCCAGTCATCCTGAATGGCTAATCGATTTAAGTCCTCCTAGTCTTTATGAAGTTGAAAAAGCTATAGGAAATCTAAAACGAGGTAGGGCATCGGGTCTTGATAGGCCTACTACTACGATGTTTAAGGATGGTGGTCCAGTTTTAACAGTTAGACTGACCGAGATCTTAGGTAGAATCAATCAAGCATACATTGGTCGCTACCGAAAGCAACTATTTGCTTAACCCGTTAAATATAATGCTCGTGATAGTCCCTCCAAATGCTTGCATCTGATATTGCTATAAGTAGGAGTGTCTAGATGTTTCATATCATATGACGATCACTTAACGATAAAACGGTTGTTCTAGACGAATAAAGCTTAAGCTAGATGGGTCTCATATTTTGCGGTGTGTTCTCAGATGGTGTCACTGGAATTAGTTACTTATTAACTGAATATTAGCTGAGATATGGTACAGGTAGTTTAAATCTGCAACTTGCTTTCAAGCACAAATGTTGACAGTGTGTAATATTCTGTTCATACACAACCATATTTTAATGGCATTATTTATTCGGAGATCTGATTAGGTTGACCGTTTACTCAACCAATAGATGGCAACGTTTATACAAAATACTGTTCGATTATGAGCGATGTTTTGTGCTGTAGGAATAGTTCGGAAGGAAGCTAGGGGCGGACAGATCTAAACATGGCACAAATCTATGAAGTCACTGACAAGTGGACTGAGTCATGTCGGTAGATGTCGACTACATGGTCGGGGTCTGCAAGATGATAATCGATGGTTAGATACCCTGAATGACATGGCTAGAAACCGTTTGCAATAGCATCCACCTGTTGCGTTCTAAGAATTTCTAACTTGATTTCCTCATTACCTCTACCTTTCTCTTTCTAAACTTATGTCACTGAATTGAATAATATCTTGGAACCCTGGTCTTCGTACGCACGTACGAAGTTCTGCGTTGTAACTGACTGACTGTTCGATTATACAGCAAAGGTATTTCTAGGCGGAAACAATATTTGTATCTTATTGTCTTCTTCTCATTACCTAAGACCAATCTATTGCTTCTATATGAGGGACGGTATTTTAATCAAAATCTTAGTGATCCAAACATCACAAGATAATGTTGGATGTATATTTGTCATCCTGACCCTAGCTGTTACCTTGACGTGGTGATCGAGCTTGACTGTTTTGATGATCCAATCTAGGAGACTTGATCGATGGGCAGAACACTTTAGGGATCAGTTCAACTGGCCTCGAGCCACTCTTCGGTTACCCACGATCTCCAGTCATCCTTAATGGCAAGTCGACGTAAGTCCCCCTAGTCTTAATGACGTTGAGAAAGCGTTAGGAAATCTGAAGCGAAGACGAGCTGCAGGTCCTGATAGACTGACACCTGAGATATTTAAGGATGGTGGTCCAGTTTTAGCAGCTAGATTGACTGAGATCTTAGGTAGAATCTGGGAAGTGGACGTAATCCCATCCGACTGGTCTCCATCCTTGATTGTCCCAATCTATAAGAAAGGACAAAAGTCTTCTTGTGACAATCACAGAGGAATAAGTCTAACTAATATAGTATCTAAAATATTGGCCTCAATAATACTTCGACGCTTAACGAAAGCTCGTGAAGAGCAAACTCGAGAAAACCAGGCTGGTTTTCGACCTGGACGTGGCTGTATAGACCACGTCTTCACACTCAGACAGGTCCTGGAACATAGACACACATTTAGGCGTCCTACAATAGTTGTTTTCCTAGACCTAAAAGCGGCATTTGACTCAGTGGATCGTGAGGTTCTGTGGGAGTGTCTGTCATTGAAAGGTGTACCAAAGAAGTACATTAACCTTATACAAGCTCTCCACTCGAACACCACTGGTCGAGTGAGAGCTTATGGCGAACTGTCATCGGAATTCTCTACTTCAAGTGGTGTCCGTCAGGGATGTCCACTTTCTCCATTCTTGTTTAATTTTATCATAGACATGCTCCTAGAAATAACCTTATCCTCATCTGAATTTTCAGGAGTAGACCTTTTACCAGATGGCTCGCTTATTGACTTAGAATATGCCGATGACATAGTCCTACTTGTTGAAGACGCTGACAAAATGCAGACTCCTCTGATCACCCTAAGCAACAATGCAAGCATGTTCGGGATGCGATTCTCACCCTCGAAATGCAAAATTTTGCTTCAAGACTAGGTTGCATCGGCACCTGAACTAGTGATAGGGAGTGAAGTAGTCGAACGTGTAGACCGCTTCACTTATCTTGGGAGTCTCATCAGTGCTGATGACCTGGTGACTGACGAAATCTCAGCTCGGATACAGAAAGCTCGATTGGCTTTTGCCAACCTGTGTCACTTATGGCGTAGGCGAGATATCAGTTTGCTGACTAAAGGACGAGTATACTGTGCAGTGGTTCGCTCCGTCTTACTTTATGGCTGTGAAACATGGCCAATGAGAGTAGAGGATATTCGTAGGTTACTTGTTTACGATCATAGGTTTCTTCGAAGCGTTGCTTGTATATCCTGGGACACCCGAGTGAGCAACGCTGTTATTAGGAATCGGGTGCTAGGTAAGAATGGCAGATCAATAGATGAAGTGCTGAAACTTCATCAGTTGAGGTGGTTGGGACATGTGTTGCTTATGCCCAACCACCGACTGCCTCGTCGAGCTTTGTTTTGTAGTGTAGGAATAGGTTGGAAGAAAGTTAGGGGCGGCCAAACCAAAACATGGCAGAAATCCATGAAGTCATTGACAAGGTAATGGAGTCATGTTGGTATTTGTCGACTACCTGGTTGGAGTCCGCGAGATGATAATCATTGATGGTTAGAGACCTTGAATGACATGGCTCGAAATCGTTCGCAATGGCGCCGGTGCATTTATGCTTTGTGTTCTCTCAAATCCTAATCTTCTGGGTTCTTCAACAACTCTAGTTTTGACTTTCTAAACTTTTCTCACTGAATCATACTTCTTGAATAATATCTTCTAATCCTAACCTCTCCGATTACTCCTAATTCCCTTACTACCTCTTCTACTATTGGACTTGAATTGACAATTAAATCTCTGTGCCGATGTGGTATGGCAACATGAACTGATATACTTACGTACGAAGTTCTACGTTGCATCTGTCTGTCTGATCCAACCTAGCTCTATTGCCTGGAACATATGTTCCTGAAGGTTCTACCATGCCAGGCAGGTCGATTGGAGAACGATGAGACTGAAAGCAGCTATTCAATGTCTGAGGGCGAAGTTGTACTGCTGACTGCAGAGAGGTGTGGCAGCAGTGAATCTTCGTAGCATCCACTGAACTGATAGACGCTCGTAAACGCATCCCACCTGGCCCTGAACATGATTAGGAAGGAAGTCAGCCTAAGCGCAGGCTAACAAAAAGCATACTCAAAGACAGCGAACAGTGGTTGGTGGCGAAAACAAAAGCGATGGAAAGGGAAGCGGCAATAGGCAACAGTAGAATACTTTTCCGCCTTACGAAAGAACCCAGTATTAGAAATTCAACTGTGAGCGAAACTATCTCAAAAAAGGATGTCTGTATCATTCATTATCAATCCAGGAGATTGGATCGATGAGCAGAGCACTTCAGGTGTCAGTTAATTTGGCCTTCAGCCACACTTCTGTTGCTGAAGACCTCCAGTCATCCTGAATGGCAAATCGATTTAAGTACTGCTAGTCTTTATGAAGTTGAAAAAGCTATTTTAAATCTAAAGCATCAAAGAGCAGCGTGTCCTGGTAGATCTACTCCTGTGATTTTAAGGATGGTGGTCCAGTTTTAACAGTTAGACTGACCGAGATCTTAGGTAGAATCTGGGAGCTGAACGTAATCCCGGCTGACTGGCCTGAGTTACTGATTTCCCCAATTTGCGAGAAACGACAAAAGTATTCTTACGAGGAATAAGTCTAACTAATATAGTTTCTAAATTGTTAGCCTCGATTATCCTTAAATATGCTTATGAAGTTGACATTATCGTCGTCTTACTTTCATTAGTAGATCTACCAAGAGACTCAGAATATGCCGGTGATATAATTTTATTTGGTGAAGACGCTGACAAAATGCAGACTCTTCTGATCACCCTATGCAACAATGCAAGCATGTTCGGGATGCGATTCTCACCCTCGAAATGCAAAATTTTGCTTCAAGACTAGGTTGCATCGGCACCTGAACTAGTGATAGGGAGTGAAGTAGTCGAACGTATAGACCGCTTCACCTATCTCAGGAGTTTCATCAGTGCTGATGACCTGGTGACTGACGAAATATCAGCACGGATACAGAAAGCTCGATTGGCTTTTTCCAACCGTCGCCATTTATGGCGTAGGCGAGATATCAGTTTGCTAACCAAAGGTCGAGTATACTGTGCAGCAGTTCGCTCCGTTCTCTTATATGGATGCGAAACATGGCCCGTGAGAGTAGAAAATATTCGTAGGTTACTAGTATCCGGTCATCAATCAATCAACAGTAACTTCGAAGTTCGTACGTACGTACATCAATTCATGTTGCCATACCACATTAGCACAGAGATGTAATTGCTACGCACCACTGTTCGCGATCATTGCGAAGGCATTTTATTAGCCTGCGCCTCAGCTGACTCCACTCCTCATCGCACCAAGAGCCAGGCGGGATGAGTTTTCGAGCATCCATGAGTTCGGTAGATGCTATTGAGATCCACGGGTTCATCCTAGCCTTATGGTTTACCTTACTAGCAGATATCACTGCTGTTTCCACAGCTTTTCGGATATCACTCCAGGCTGCCGCAGGATGGGCATCACTTACTTCATGGCTGCCTAACTGTTCTTCTAGTTGTTCCCAATTTATATTCTTAGCTTTATTATCATTAATTAGAGCCCTAAGAAGTTTCCTTGCGAATGGTTTCTTATGTCCAGTGGGACGCAAACAAATATGCGCTCGCACTATAGCATGGTCTGAGTCTAAACAAGTGCTCCAGAATGGGCGGCGTTGTTCAATGAAGCCTCTCTACTGATGGCTTGTAGCGATGTGATCTAGTTGTGTCCAGAGTTCGATCGGTTTTAGGGGTCACCATGTAAAAATGTTTTGCCTTGTGATTACTGTTAACGTTTGCTATTAGTAGGCGGTTTTCTGAGCATAGCTTTAGTACGCGATCGTCATTATCTGATCTTTGAGCCATGACACTTAAGATCCATCCAGGTGTCTTTCCTTTTTACTGGGTCTACTCACTTGAGTGTTAAAGTCACTAGCCATTAGTAATACATCGGAGCGCTTAACTTTTTAAAGGAGGCTATAAAGGTTTTTCTAAAACTCATCCTTCATCTCGTCTGAGCTTCAGTCAGTGGGAGCGTGGGCAGAGATAACAAAGAGGCAACGGCAAGTTTTCTTATCTTTACGAGTCCTTACTATCCCGTTTAGTCGGACGGCGCGTAAGCAACTGTCTTTCGGGATCCAGTCTAAGAGAGCTAGTTCTGCCTTACGAGTTAAACTATACTTAGACCAGCGAGACCACGGTAATCAGCATCAGCACTTCCAGATACGTGAAGAGTGAATCAATGTGCTTCTTTATTTTGACGTGGTGGGATCAAATGAATGACGCTTTTAGGATCTTTTATGCACGTTTTGGAGACGCAGCCCACATCGGTATCACGGGATTCAAGAGTCTTTGCTAAGGTTGCGTGTTGTCCTATTTGATACAGTGTCCAGACAATAAAAGCTCCAACATGTATTTCAGAACTGGGTTTCAGGAGACCAGGAATAACGTTTTTAGAAATCACACTGCTTGCTTCGGCGGTGCGAGTTGACGAAGGAATAAAAGAAGGGTTGGTCTTGGAGATAAGAGTGTCATTAGGAAGTGTGTGAAGGATTTGATTGTGACCAATTCGGTCTCGTGTGTTGTTACGGGTATGAGGGCGGCTGTCATTTCCCGACTGCCCACACCGTGAAAGGATGTTTCCTGAGGAACCTAAAAAGGAAGGTAGATTATTGTTGGTCCTAACGACCTGAAGGCGTAACCTCAGAGTCCAAGGGACAACTGCTTGAGGCCGATGAGGCGCGGCTTTTTTATGAGTTTTTAAAGTGTTAGCTCGGATCAAACCTTAAGTAGCTGCAATTAGTCTCATCGTTCTCCAATGGACTTGCCTGTCATGGTAGAACCGATAAGAACATACTATGTGTTTTTGGCTGCCTCAACTGAAATAAGTGGTACGAGACTTGAGTTTGTGAACTAGTGACTGAAAGTTGAAACTGCAACCACTGTTTCATCATTTTGAATAATTCTGTAATACAGCAGCTTCATCGATTAACATTACAAAAGTTATATTTTTTTGTGAATACCTGGTATTTAAAAATATTTGAGTCTAAAGACTAAAGGCTATAGTTCTTTGAGATTGGGAGTTAATGAACATAGGACACAAAATACTAAGATTTATTACAATCAGTTTGACAACTTCAACTTCCGGAAACTGAAACAGTTTTTTCCGTTTAGTTCCCAAGTTTGCTACTGGACACAGATGACCAACTTTTATATTTGGTCGAAGCGTTATTCCATGTATTATGTAGACTACTAATTTGTATTCCGCTGTGTAAATACAGCGTTTAAACCCATGGTTACTTTGTTTTTTACTTGATTACCACCATTCGGTTTAAATTTAGCCGAATTTCCGGACTACTTAAATTTTTCACAACCAATAAAATATACTGACAATGGGTTTTGAAAAAAGCATAAACATTTTTCATCAAGAGCATAAAACCTTTGTCTACCTGAATTATATATTTCCAATCTTCAGTAAATTTCTCTTCGTCAAAACCAATAGCCTTAAACTTCGGCAATTCACTATTATAATTTACTAGCTTTTCACAGCCACTCCAGGTATCTGATGTCGGCGTTCCTGTAGATAATAATTAAAAGTGGAATATTACCTAGCTTTTCGAATATAAGATAAAGCTGACCTATTTCAGAATCTCCCGGAAACAAAACCTTTCCTTGTATCTGCAAATTATTCAAAATCATTTATCTTACCATTTCGTACGCTATACATCCAAGGCTCCAAACATCTACGGAATAATCGTAATTTTGTACACCAAGCATAATTTCTGGTGCACGGTACCATAGTGTAATGACTTCATGACATAATGAGCGATATGGAATAGACAGAGTCCTGGAAAGTCCGAAATCAGCTATTTTTACAATCCCATAAGTAGTTATCAGTATGTTTGTAGGCTTTAAGTCTCTATGAATGATCGAGTGTTTGTGACAAACAATTAGGCCTTCCAAAATTTGGCCTAAGAATGACTAATAAAACGACACAACTTTAATAAAAGTGCTACTTGAAATTACTTTTGTGAGTTCGAATGGCAAACGACGTAGTGTTTCGTTTTTCAGGTCTTTAACTGCAAACCTATCCATAAATTCTTTCAAGTTCCAGTCAGCTAGTTCATATACAATCGAAATATGTCTTTTTTTGTGTATGATCTCATGTATTCTACAAGGAACATTTCTCAGTCGAATAATATATACGGGCAAAAACCTGATTATATTATCACATCCAAAGTTGTTTAGTTCAAGAAGTATCCCGATTTCTCTTATCGTAGAAGCAGGCACACAGCTTTCATTGCTGTAATACAATTACGCTGATTTTTATTATAATTTACTCATTAATTCCCACCATTTTGATGGCAAAATCCTGTCCTGTGTTCTTATCAGTAGCTAAGTAAACTGTACCATATGTCCCGGAACCAAGTTTTCGTCCTCTTATGTACTTCCCAAGCACTTTAGTGTAATTGTTTACAAAATATAACCGAGTACTTGTTTCATAGCGCAAACCCATAGTTAATTTGAAATCCCGGGTAGTTCCAATATTGCATATATGAATTTATTGTGCAGCATTTGGATAGTGTTTTTTTTTGTGGTATTCACTAGTTGGTGTACATTATCTAATATCTTCAGTATCCATTGTCTTTTATTGAGCCAACATACGCTGTATGTTTTTTTGCACTGGATCCCTGTCCTTTCGGTATGGATCCAGGTATCCAATGATGTCCAATCAATGGTAGTCCAAACACTCGACTGCACTAATTCCAGTCAGTTGGCAGTTACTTTTGGATTTATATGTCACATGATTTGAATGAGTGCGTTTGTTTCAGGATAATAGCGTTTCTGAATACCTAAGGCTATCACATTAAAAAGGCGGAGATCAGTTAGTGGCAACGTTGAGGATATTAAGGAGAAATTTCTAAAGCTAATGAAAAGATTCCAGAACTATGTAAATGAAGATTGTGAAAGAGGACTGAAGTGTAAGCGATAGAGATGAAATAGCTGTAATAAAAGTGATAGAACAAGTTAGTGATCTGAGGAGATGGTGGTTTTAACAACAAGGCAGATTTCGAGAAATGAATCTGGTTTAAGATGTAGATGAATATCTGCATGAGAGTATGTTATAATCAAGTTTCTCCTTTCACCTGTCCATTGAGGTGGCTTTAGTCAACTTGGCTGAGAGAGCCTGATGAAAAGAATTGCACACTGACATAGTTACGTGTTCCTTGATGTGCAATTTCTTGAGGGCAACCTCGGGGCGAGTGATGGTGAAACTTCCAAAGGATTCTCACGTTGGGAAGACTGAGCGTACTTTACAAGCTGTTTGGTATGATCAGATCATCTCCGATTTTCCAAAACTCAGAGGTAATAATCTCAAGTCCTCGATTCTCTTTTTTAAATAGAACGGGTGCCCCAAAGCTATGAACTTTGACGTGTAGGAAGATGTATCTTTTAAACAGTGTTAGATTACTTCTTTGGTGCATGCACCAGCCTGTCTCCGCACAAAATGATCAGTTGCTTTAGACTTGACTGCGTCCCCTATGTAGTTCAATCTTGTGTCTAGGCTTTGAATGGTTATTAAACCGAGATCGCGCTCAGAGGAGACATTGGGGAGCGTAGTTCCACAGAGTTGTATGTTGCTCGCCCCATGCATCCAGAATATCCATAAAGTGACATTTCAGCTGGGGTAGCCATACACCATTTTTCATTGCCCATTCCTCAGTTGATCTAAGATTATCTTGAAGCTCAGTTGTTTCCTCTTTGCCTCGTATACATCTCAGTATCTTTAAATTATCTGCGTAGATCAATGCTGCTGATCTAATTTCATTTAAAATTTTCAATAATGAATATCGTGAAGAGGGGTGCGCCTAAGTTGGTTCACTGTGAGACTTCTCGTGTGTAGATTGAATCGCTCGCGTGCACTCACCGGATCTTGGCTTGAAACCTTCTGCTCTCGAGGTAGTTTCTGAGCCAATGGTGTGGATCAGTGAAGCCAATCTCTGCGTCCTTCGAAATTAGGAGTTTTTGTCTACTGAATCGAGAGCCTTATGTAAGTCAAGGAATCTTATATAATCCGGTATTATTAGGTCCTGTTAGGTTGTCTGTTAGTTTGGGGTTGTGAGCGGTTTTGGATACACGCGAGCTGAGATTCGTGGGGAATATGTTTCATAATCATTTATTCCCTCAGTTGTTCATTCACTAGTCCTTCCTTCATATTCGACAGTATTAGTATTCATGAGATAATTCTTTAGCAAGTTAGTCCCTTCGTATCTACGCCTTTGATGATTGGAGAGAGTAGCTTGTATACATTCAGGTGGGAGTTAGGGTAATTCCAGCGAATATCTGAACAGGTGACATACCTATAGCAATTTGTACGACATACTTCTTCGCGGGAGAACAAATGTTACTCCACGGCCTCAGAGAATCAAGAAACAAACTGGCCTCGTGATATCGAAATGATATCGAGGCAATAGGGCGTACAGAAAGCAAACGTCCTTGTAGGAGACTTACGAAGAGGAGAGTGGGAATAACACGCTAGGCGCGCGAGAGATAGTCTTTTGTACAGAAAAAACACGAGGTGTACAGTATAACAATTAATGTCAGAATTAAGTACAATAATAAATGTATATATTCCAACAGTTGTGTTTTCTTCGCAAAAGTAAACCACTACATACCGGTGAACTGTGGTTTTATGCACAGTTTTAAGATAACAAGGCTGATACTGTCACATCCTGGTGACTATCCTAGACTAAGGGATTTCAGTTTTCTTAGTAATTGGTCAGAACCTCATCCTACTCCTTAAATATTATCTTAGATAATTTCCGAAAACTTGGTTGCTTTACTCAGGAGCCTATAAACTTATTATTTGACAAATCTCAACAAGAATATCTTTGCACATTTACCTCATCAATTCTTGTTACAAACAAACCCGGAGTTATCGTGGGCTGGTTCTCAGCCATAAGTGGTTCATCATAATTCGCCCAATTACCGTATTGTACATTGCAGTCTGAAATATCATCTATAAATTTATGTGGAAAAGTTTAGCTATCTATAAGTAGTCAGTGTTTTTTGTGAAATATTTACGTAACTGAACAACCTTTTACAGAAAATGTGTTCGCAATTTTAACATTTTGATCTTACCTGTAAATTTACATGCCTCTTGTAACACAATGTTATTTGGGAATAGATTACTATTATTATTTTCATCATGATTAAATACCACTTCAGTCATTTTTATAATTTCCAGATCAAAATTTTATGGAATGCTGACCAAGTATTTGTATTGTAGTAAATCTTAAATGGTTTAGTTATTATTAAGTTCATTTGACTGTTCTCAGAACTATATTGGCGTCATTTATCTACTCAGAGATAATAATGCATTCAAGTTAAACTCTTACACTTAAACAAAATGGTTGACTAATGGTCGAATGAAAATGATTGGTGAAGTAACATTCACATTAATTGATATGTTTTTAGTGATGACCGAGTCCAGATTGATTATGAGGACCACTTAATACTAATTACTATCCCGTCACAATGAGCAGCAAGTTATCAATGATGGCAGCAACGCAGAAAAGAGGATTGCGCATAAGTAAGTGTTTTTAGTACAGTTAAACAAAACGAGTACAATGATAAATGTCTTCTTTTCATTAACTACGTTTCCTGAGTAGAAGTATTCCACTGTATATTGATCAGAAGTACTTTTATTTTGTATACTAACTATCGATAACTAGAACTATTCCACTGTACTCCAGTAGTTACGCATGGACCAGTATTGAATATAGAAAGAACACACTCAGCACAATCGAATGTACTGTATTTGGAATTCGAATCAGAATAATGTACAAGGGAATTATTATAAAAAAAATATCACAGGTGACTCAGTGATTGACAAATTTCCTAAAGTTGTTTGAATCTATGTTTACAATACCGATAAATGTAGTAATAAAACAGTAATTCAAATTAATAATTATTCACTTGCTTGTAAACAAGACTCAATGAAAATAAAGTGTAGTGAACGAGAACACAAGTGGGGCGACCGGATTGTATTTAACGGAAATTACAGAGTTACTCAGTAAAATCAGAAAACCATATCGTAAATCGTTAATTTGCAAAGTATCAGTTCATCATATCGAACTGGACTGTTCCTGTTGCAAAACATCAATCGATTGTCACTATTTATGCGTTTCATACAAATTCCATTGTATTCTAACTCTTCCTTTCTTGATCTTCCCCCATCTTCTGCTGCCAGACATTAGGTTGACACACGTCATATACCACTTATAAGTAGCTCACACAACAAAAGTAACGAAATTCGAGTTCTCAATCACTTATTTAACATTGCATTCATTATAGAATAAATACCGATTGCAAGAAATGTTAATCAATAAAACTGATAATAACCTCATGAAACAAATTGGTATTTTTGTAATTTCTTCATTTGGCTTTATTTTATTTTTTTTGCAGAAATATTTTTTTAAAGAAAATTCAGAATGTCTCTCACAGTTCTTCTGATCAATAAAATTGGAATGAACTCAAAAAAAAAGATAATAATAATAATGGCTAATAAAAATAATGATTAAAAGTCATATGAGGTGTCTATTTGCGGTTAAGAAGCTCAGTTTATAACAATCGGGTATGTGCATGTGGTTGGAAACCGATATTTTTAACTGATAATATATAAATGAATCAAATTAAGGATTCAAAATCAAAACAATAAATATGACAAGTGAATCAAAATGAAAGTTCATCTTATATCGGACTAGTAGTGAAATTAAAATCTGACCAACCATTTAAATTGAGAGAATTTGTGTTTTAAGCGAAAAAGCGCATAATTAAACCTTCATAGTTTGCCGCGGTTTTACTCACTTCTTTTAAAGTTCATTTATTTTTAAAATGTTTAAATTGGAAATGAATAATGATATATACATTTGAAAAAATAGTGTTATTGATTTTTTTTAGACTTAAGAGAAAAAAATGAAAAGCTCAAAGTTCGTTATAAGCATTTTATTATATTACAAGTGTGGTGCGAGCTAAGTAGTATATGACGTGAGTGTCAACGTAATGTCTGGCAGCAGAAGATGGGGGAAGATCAAGAAAGGAAGAGTTAGAAGAACACAATGGAATTTGTATGAAACGCATGAATAGTAGTGACAATCGATTGATGTTTTGCAACAGGAACAGTCCAGTTCGATATGATGAACTGATACTTTGCAAATTAACGACTTACGACATGGTTTTCCGATTTTACTGAGTAACTCTGTAATTTCCGTTAAATACAATTCGGTTGCCCCACCTGTGTTCTCGTTCACTACACAAGAGCTGTCTTGTCATTGAATTACAAAACTTCAACAAAGGAAAAAGATTTTGTGCATTACTTTATTTTTTCTATCTCTCTACTAGTTAAAATAAAAGATTCCTAATCATCCTATTAGTTATTTTAGCGAAATAACTAACTTTGTTTGAACTATGTATGATATTAGCCTTTTCAATACAATTATATTAAATGAACTGCAGGGATGACATTTTTTCCTTCGAATATCTTCAAGGTTTACTCAGATCATCATCATGACCAACTAGCCAATTTACTACTTAAAAATGGAACACATCTATCAGATACACATGTAATATACTGTGAAATTATAGTTTCTATAAAAAATGATTGATCTCAAGTTCTTTTATGCATTCATAAAACAGCATTTTTATATATCCAACAGTCCTATTTAACTTACTAGTTATTCATATCACTTAGGAGTGTTTCGGTAGCTACAACTTTACTAGACCAATGCCATTAAATTCACTATGGACTTACTAATCCCTCTCATTTTTGAAAAATCTTATTTGTTTAAATCATGCAAAAAAACCATGTTAATTAGATAAGTTTTTAAAATTCGAATGTAAACAACGATCAGTTCATTTTCCTTTGGAGATAACAATGTCAATAAGATACTTCATCTTATACTCATCATGTTTAATTCATTATGTTGGGGATGTTAGATTCCCAGAACTCGCTTGATAAATGCCTTATTTTGGACTTCGTGTTTGCGAGCATGGGTTGATCATTCGACCTTGAGATTTCATTTCCCACCAGGAAAGTCCATGGCTGTGATTGGCTGCTGTGTATGTTGGTGTGCTATTTTTGTGACTGTCACAAGGACGTTTCTATGATGCATAAATAAACGAGAGTTGTGTGCTTGATTGTATTGTGATTGCTGGGTGTTGTAGAATATACTTTCTACGCTTACAAAGACTTCTGTTACAGCTTGGGATACAAGGTAGCCTATCTGGACGCTGTTAATTTTCTCGTTCGCGTTTATCGACTAAGATGAACTCGTAATAGCTTCAAGCATACCTATTGACGAACATAACACATTCACGGTTTTTTTTAGTACCGTAAGTATCTATCGTTTAATAATCAGGAAGTAGCCACTTCAGTGATTTGCATTAACCATTTTTTTGAGACTATATTATTCGGATGTTTTGTAATCAGAAATAATGGGATGGCTGTCATATGATTGACAGAAGGCAAACAATTTTCGTTTATACTGTATGTACGTAGAATACTTCGAGTCATTTGGGTTGTTATTGGTGATATTTTTTTGCATCCACGTTCTTATATAAAGACACTATAATATCCCTATTTTATGATTACTGAGACATACATTAGAACAATTGATTAAAATTGAGAGATAAGTGGATGAAATAAATTTCCTGACTAGTTTAAGTCGAAGATGATTAGCGTTGACTTATATTGTAAAGGAATAGTATGTCTGTATACACTGATTCGTTGAAACTAGCAATAAATTTCCTATCGACCGTGTTACTATTTATTGAATATTTGATTTGTTCAATATGTCAATAATTGTTTTTTGGGATTACTAGTTTTAAGGATTGTTTTCGTCAATTTAATGAATAATGTCAAGTATGAATGTCAAAATAAAAAGTTCAATGAACCCATTCAGTGATTGCTGTTTGTGTTTCCTAGTCATTCAATTATTGGTAATTTGTATTTCAATAGCCTAGGATGACCAAAATGATCAGATTGACGTACTAATATACAAAAATATCAATTCAAAGTGAATTTAATTAACTCAGAAATATAAGTTACACTCAGTAAGAGTTATTTTCAGTTTTATTAAGTTGTTACATTGGAATGTGATTTCTTATTTAATATATAATTGGACTATAAGCTTGTCATATGATCCCAACTAAACGAAGTGATGATCCGACCTGTAGTGAGACATGCCCAATATTGAATCTAAGTTTCAAAGCATTTATAAACTTCAGGTTCTTTCCTATTTATCTTATGTTTATTGTAGGCATTTCTAATATGCAAACAACATTTAAGTCATTTGTATTTACTTGACATATATATTATACCTGATAATGTCATCTCGCTATGTTAATGAAGTGTGGTAACCCGGAACCGACGTATACATATGCCAGGTTCCAAAATGCACATGACTGACCAATTTACAAAGAAGTAGACAACGAACGACATCACAGGCACGAAATCACACATCGAAAACATTATGTATAATCCCATTTAAAGGAATGAGTTTTGGAGTAGTTTCAAAAGAAAAAGGTTGCAGCTAGAAAAGATCCATTATTGAAAATTAAAATAGGGGAAAGAAATATAGTAGGTGAAATCCATAGTCTCAAAACAACTAGATATGTAATAACTGTCGGATATCAAAGCATCTCAACGGGGTATAAAATATATATGATTTCGCATTACGTTTATTTTATTATGTACTTCTGTCTAAAACTGTTCAGCTAATGAGACAAAAAGACAATTCCACAAAATCATGAGGTATATTGGTGTCAGGATAATCTGATCTCACGGAAGAAGTCAAACTAGATAAACGGGAACGTAAGAATAATGAGTTGGTATTATCTAAATTTATTAAATGGACCAATGGTTGTAAATATTTACTGGAGTGTTTGTCTCATTCAGTTTTTTTTAGTAGGAACACGTTAATATTTTTGTAGAGAAATTGTAATCCTGAAAAATTACAACCATAATTTACAAAAAAAACCCACTAGATCTGTGTAACTAGAAGTTCTGGTTTTGCTCCACATGGCACTACGTCAATACCTATAATAGGAAGATGTGCATGATTGCATGCAGATTTCTTATCGCCTTAAGCTATAGGGAATCTAAGGCAAGGTAGAACAGTAGGCTCTGACAGGCTTACCCCTGAACTTTTTAACAATGATGGTTAGTTTTAGCAGTTAGCTTAACTGAGATCTTAGGTAGAATCTGAGAGTAATCCCATCTGACTGGTCTCAATCACTGACTGTCCCACTCTCTAAGAAAGGAAAAACGTCCTCTTGTGACAATCACAGACGAGTTAGGTTAAATAATGGTGTATAGAATGTTAACCTCGATGAAACTTCGACGCCCAACTAGAGCTTGTGAAGAGCACATTAGAGAAAACCAAATATTCACGCTTCGTTTGGTCCTAGAACATAGACACACATCCAGACTTCCGACAACAGTTGTACTGCTTGTCCTTAAGGTGGGCTTTGACTCTGTTGATAGTGAGGTTTTATGGTAGTGTTTGTCACTGAAAGCTCTCTACTCAAACATTAATGGTTGAGTCAGAGTTTATGGCGAACTGTTATTGGAATCCATTACTTCAAGTGGTATTGGTCAAGGTTGTCCACTCTGTTCATCCTTATTCAACTTTGTCATGCACATGATTCTGGTTCTTCAAGATTTGTACTTTTACCAGGAGAGTCACTTGTTAACTTAGAATGTGCCGATAATATAACTGTATTTGGTGAAGTCGCTGACAAAATGCAGAGTCTTCTGACTACCCTAAGCAACACTGCGTGTGGGATGCGATTCTCCCTCTCGAAATGTGGCTTCAGCATTGGTTTGCGTCGGCACCCAAACTAGTGATAGAGAGTGAAGTAGTTGACCATGTAGATCGCTTCACTTATCTTGAGAATCACATCAACGCTGACGATCTGGCATGTGACGAAATCTCAGCACGGATACAGAAGGCTTGACTGGCTTTTGCCAACTTGCGTCATTTGTGGCGTAGGCGACAGATCCGTCTACTAACCAAAGAACGGGTTTACTGTACAGCAGTTCGCTCCGTCCTACTTTATGGCTGTAAAACATGGCCGGTAAGAGCAGAGGATATCCGAAGGTATCTTCGAAGCTAGGGACGGCCAGACCAAAACCTGGAAAAAATCCATGAAGTCACTGACAATTGGACTGAGCCATGTTCGTACGTGTAGACTTCCTGGTTGTGGTCCGCGAGACAAAAGTAACCGATGGTTTGAGACCTTAAACAACATGGTTGAAAATCGTTTGTAATGGCGCAGGTGTATCCACTCTTTGTGCTTTTCCAAACTCTAATCTTCTGAATTCCTCATCACATCCATCTTTCTCGATCTAAATATATATCTTACTGAATTATACTTCATGTATAATCTTTTCCAATCCTAATCTTCTCCATCATGGCCAATACTTCTACTATCTTTAGAACTATGGGATTTGAATCAATAACTGCATCTCTGTGCTATCGTGGTATGGCAAATTGAACTGATGTACGTACGTACGTACATACATACGAAGTTCTATGTCGTTACTAACTGACTGACACATAATATTCTAAAATAATACTCTTCACATATAGGAAAACAATAACACAAGTTATAATAATTAATACAAAGATCAAAAATCTACCTTAATCTTCTTTAACTTCTTGGCTACCCCAAAAACATTCATACTAACATCACTTTATGATAAAATGACGCTTATAATTATGTCTTAACTATATTTTGATACTGGTTCAAGAAATTTTTCTCTCATTTAAAGTTACGTTTACCAACAACTGGTAAGCTTTTTTCCACGATTTAAAAATTCAATTACTAACCAGGTTAGTATCTAAAGATGTTTGTGGAAATTACAACACAACAAACATATTACAAAAATATTCCATGGAATAAATAATATAAATTAAAAAATAATATATATATATATATATATATATAGAGAGAGAGAGAGAGAATTAAAAGTCAAAAAAACTTTTGAATGAATGACTGTTCAATGTGGTAAAGAAATATTTATCATAGCAATTGGTGTATATGATGACATTGATATATCTAGTACGACCATAAAATTGACCAATCGGAATCAACCAATAATTAATTCTCTTTGGATATTTGAATGAATATCCTAGCAACAAGCATAGAATGAGTAGTGTATTTAGCATATTTTGAAAAGAATTGAATGTTGTTCAATGTGTAAGTGTTCAAGTTGAGAAATACATTATTAATACCATCTATCTATCTATTCTATCATCAAACAATACAATACAACACAATACAACACAACATACAAATCAACAAATGCTCACAATGATTAACGACAATGACACCGTAGAAAGAGAGTATTGTGACAGAAAACAATCATTGTTAAGGTAATATAAATAAGCAAGCAAGCGAATAAAAACAAATTTTCATTCATGAGAAAAATGAAATTTTTTTATTCATATTATATTTATTTAAGATCTATTGTCAGTTAGTTGTTGATGGACCACCACCACCTGCAGTAGCTTGACGTGCTGCAAACAGCCCAGCTTCCATTGCTTTATTTCTTATTAAAGGATCTGATACTACACCATGAGCAAATTCTTCTTTAGCTTTACCAAAACTAGCACCTGTATTACGATAGATGCGATGTACCTATGTAGGAAAAAATTAAGTACTAATTAATGAGAATAGATATCAAGAAGAAAGAGTGAGTTTCGATCTTTATACAGTGATTAAACTAACGTAAAATAGAAGACAAGCAATAACGTTATGTTTGTTTCATACTTTTTTTTTTATTAACAATTCAAGATGATTGAAAAAAGTATACACGGAATCATCTTAAAAATCAAAAAAAAGGTTTAAGGGAATGAGTGTTTTTCACGACTAAGCATAGAACAGTTTTTAAACTAAGCTCAGTAGATTCTGTCAATTGCTTAGATCCTTTTGTTATCTTTCAATCAGTCAGTCAGTCAGTTGCAGCGTAGAAATTCGTACGTATGTACATAAGTTCAGGTTGCCATACTACATTAGCACAGAAACACAAATGTCAAATCAAATCCCATATTGATGAAGTTAGTAGAAGTATTAATGGTAATGAAGAAGACTAGGGTTTGAAGGTATTATTCAAGAAGTATAATTCAGTGAGATAAGGTTAGAAAGACAAAGTTAGAGGTGCTGGCGAATCCAAAAGATTAGGATTTGAGAGAGCACAATGAATGGATGCACTTGCTCCATTGCAAACGATTTTGAGCCATGTCGTTCAACGTCTCTAACCATTGGTGACTTTCGTCTCGCGGATCCCAACCAGGTAGTCTACATCTACCAACATGACTCAGTCCACTTGTCAGTGACTTCATGAATTTGTACCATGTTTTGGTCTGACCGCCCCTAGCTTTCTTCCAACCTACTCCTACACTACAAAACATAGCTTGTCGAGGCAGTCGGTGGTTAGCCATACGTAACACATGCCCCAACCACCTTAACTGATGAAGTTTCACCACTTCATCTATTGATCTGCCATCCTTGTCTAGTACTCGTTTCCTAACGACAGCATTGCTTACTAGATTTTTTTTATAACATCCCAAACTGGTTATTGACTTAAATTTGGTGTGATCGCTTAAAAACACGATACCCACATCTATACTAATGACTTAAAAACAATTAAATGAGCTTAAATGTTCGGTTGATGAGTTTTGTATGGCTTTATATTAGCGAGTAAAGAGAAAACTTTGAAAATAAGAATGAAAGATGTGAATATGCAGTTGTCATTCTAATGATATTATGATGTTATTAATCAACGCATACACTTGAAGAACTAAAATGAAATTTGACTGTTACTAAACCAACTATGGAATAAGTTAGGAGTTTCTCAACAGTGAACATACGATATATATATGTTTTACGTAGAAAGGTAGGTGGCTAATAACATCGAAATTCAACAACAGAACATATATCGGAAAGTAAACACAAAATATAGATAAGTGAAGATAAACTCACGTGCATTAGATACCAAGCCGATACTCCTGTGACAGCGGTAAACAAGCATGCTACCAACAATGTTATAACTCCAATTACCGGACTAGATTTGACTACTGCCAAACCGGTAATCCATCCACTATAGTACAGAATAATTTATTAAATAAAGAAACCGAATATCATAGTTAATATGAATGAATATGAACTGGAAAATATTTGAAATAAACATAAGTTCTACAGTTCAAAAACAACATGAATACACTGAATATAGTCGTCACTAGGAGGAATAAAAATCTCCTTTGAAATTTATCATTGCCTACATAGGTTATATGGGTATGAAATATTACTTAATCAACTGTAACGAAATAAAGTGATATGACTTTTTGGTGTGTAAAAATTAAATGTTTACTACTCGAAAAATGCATAAGAGAAAACTCACCAAGAGCCCCAATTTAAGATACCGATTGATTGTATGATCATAACTAAAACTTGAATACCAAAAACGATGAAAAATATGAAGAAATTGATTGAGCTGTTACTCCTAGGATGAATGAAATGAAAAAAAGAATTATTAATTTTAATTCGTTAGTGGAATATTTTTAGAACATAGAAAATTAAAAGCAAAGAACAAAAAACGCACTTATCTGATGGACAAAAATTTACTACATGGACTCTTAGTATAATCGATGATTAATGTGACAAGTAATATCACATCAGTGAAAAATTAATCCCAGTCCAGTTAGTATCGATAGATGGAAAGAGAGGTTCCTGTTTCTTAGTGCATGTGATTTTAATCACTTTAAGAAAATATACAGACAGACAGACAGACAGATACAATGCAGAACTTCGTACGTAAGTACATCAGTTCAAGTTGCCATACCACATCAGCACAGAGACGCAACTGTCAATTCAAATCCAAGAGTGATAGCGATAGTAGAAGTATTAGCAGTAATGGAAAAGATTAGCGAGCGAAGATATGATTCGAGAAGTATAATTCAAGAAAATATACTGAAATCGTTGTGATAACCGTGTCTGTATCATGTTTAAACATGATGGTCTTTTTCATTCGGTGGTTCATAAAAAAAAACTATCAATGTGAATAATAAATAAAATAAAATATTTGCAATTTACTAAAGTACTAAAAAAATTTCATAGTGGTTATTCTCATTTTGCTTATCCTGATATTGATCGAACAATGTCCAAAAACCATTTTAAGTAAATAGCCTCAGAGTGAACATTTGAAACGGTTTATCTTCTGTTATCTAATTACCAGCATGGAATACCATAAAAAGTTATTTTTCTCATTACCATAATTGGATATGTGTAAAGCTTGTTCACTTGTGATGCGATTCAGAGGAAGTGGAACAGTAAAGTAAGTTTATGCAAGCATTAAGCCTAGGAAGGATTTGATTTTGACCAATTTGGTCTCGTGTGCTGTTACGGGTATGAGGGCGGTTATCACTTCCCGGTTGCCCACACCGTGGAAGGTTGTTTCTTGAGGGACCTGAAAAGGAAGATAGATTAGTGTCGGTCTGAACGACCTGGGAGCGTGACCGCAGAGCCCAAGGGACAACTGCTTGAGACCAGTCAAGCACGGCCTTTTTATGAGAAGTTTTTTGAGTGTTAGCTCCGCTCTTGAAAGCCCTTGGTGGGCACCCTTACCCAAGGAGACGGAAATCCGTGAGGTAGGGTGAGGTGTGACATTTTTAGAGTCGACCTTTTCTAACCCTTCCTTCCTTGTGAGAAGGCAGCATCGCCGCAGACGCTGGTTGTCCAAAGGAAACATGTTACTGCTGTCACACCCCTCTGCAGTCAGCAGTACGACTTCGCCCTCAGACCTTGAGTAGCTGCTTTTAGTCTCATCGTTCTCCAATCGACCTGCCTGGCATGGTAGAACCTTCAGGAACATATGTTCCAACCAATATAACTCGGTTGGGTCATCACGATAGGCAAGCCCGACCACCACGTCAAGGTAGTAGCTTCGGTCGGGATTAAGCCTAGATATTTCTACTATAAACAACTATCAACCATGATATCTAACCTGTATATTTCTACATACTGTAAAACTGAGTAATAATCCACTTCGATTTATTAGATTCTAGCTTTGAGTTGTTTAACTTTAAAATGAATCGATTGGGATGATGTAAGAAATGTAGCATATCTTCATTTAAGGATACTGAATATATTATTCAACACTTTCATCAAATACTTTGGGAGCGTTGATGATTGAAAACCAGTGGAGATCATGTGTGGTTTAACAGTAATCATTACATTTTATAACATACATTGAATGAAAATCTAGTGTTATGGAGTACACTCCCCTTCTACTAAGCTTTTGATATGAGACGTACGACATAGCTCGACAGATTAAAACTAGGTTTCCCATACATATCCTAAGAGTTAGTTAGGAGCTCGAATAGTGTATTCTTACATTAAAGTGAAATGGTTACTTCAATTGCTTCTGATATCCCAAAATAGCCACTGATATGCTTCAGAAGAAATAGATATTCTTTACCTTTTGTGAAGGGTTATAAGGTAATCTATTTGTTCACCACCGGACTAGACTAGTCCCGGTGGTCACCAAATCAAATGACAGCATTTCTAGTAGAACATAAAATAATTATCCTTTACTAACATGTGAATTACAATAAAGTTGAAATAGGTGGCCATTTCTAAACGTTAGCTAAAGTGAAATTACAAAACTAAAAGTTTGGTAACTTCTTACTTAGTTTAACCTCCTCACGTGTGGAGGAAACCTAAGCTGTTCACCAAATTTTAATGTTTAGCTGTTTAATACTAGATTAGATTGCTTTCTTGAAGAAATCATTTTTTACTTCATCCAATCTACAAACAGGTAATATTGTGAACTGATTATTCAGAATTACTGGCCTAAAATCAAATAAGGCAACATATAGGCTTACGTCACCTCAGATCTATTTTGAAAGCGTTAATTGTTTCTAATTCATAGCAACAACGAACTGTGGGAGAAAACAAACCAGATTCCAGTGGAGGAGGAAATCAGGAAGAATCGGTGGAAGTGGATAGGACACACACTACGGAAAGCTCCTAACTGCGTCACGAGACAAGCCCTCACATGGAACCCTCAAGGCAAAAGGAAAAGAGGAAGGTTAAAGAATACGTTACGCCGAGAAATAGAGAAAGATATGAGAGGAATGAACAGAGATTGGACAGAACTGGAGAGGGAAGCCCAGGATAGAGTTGGTTGGCGAAAACTGGTGGGCGGCCTATGCTCCATTGGGGGTAACAGGTGTAAGTAAGTAAGTAATTCATAGCTCTACAAGTACAAGACTATAAGAACTGACTATTTATAATTTCCAGACGAACGAAAAAAAGATTGAGTGGATTTCTAAAATTTTGAAACATGAGACTAACACTTTACAAGAATTATGCATGAAGCTCCAGATAATATATATTGATCGTGTACTAAATGAAAGAAAACTCAAAGTCATATGCAACTGATTCTTCTTCTTCTACATAACAACGCTATAAAATGCAATAGTTGACTTGTCAGGTGTTGCCTTTTTATCACTATAGTGTAGGCAGTAATGATTGAACTATTTTATTACCTAAATAAAACAGTGAAAGTATGTCTTGTTTTCTTGCAATATATCATGTTTTTAGAAATAACTGTAATAACTTTATAAGCAATCACATGATTTTCTGACTGCTGTTATCACCATTATTATCTGTGAATTCACATTCTTGAAATTAATTTTCAAGCGATAAAAAGTTAAGTCCGATGAGGAAAAAAAACAATTAAAACACGTAAATACTTTAGAATTGATCTGTATCAATGTTTAGTTTGAATATCAGAACTTAAGTGAGTAATAATTTTACCTGTTTCACTTAATATACGAATCCTTGTTGGCTGGTGACTTATGACATTTTAGGACGTCTGATAGAGGTCGCTTAATCTTCGACAATCTGTGACTCGAGAAAGATAATCATCTCATGGAATCGGTGTGTATACTAAGCAATACTCTACGCTTTTATCTTATATGACTGTAAAACTTTGCCTCTGAAAAAGCATGAATAAGCTACTAGTACTTGAAGAAGGATAGAGTAGCAGTTAATCATGATCAATGTAGAGCCTCCCACAACTATGCTTTGGCACAGGTTGCCATATCAGATTGGCTTGACGGGAATAGTGACAGAAATGATTATGTAATAGCAATGGTGATAAGAGAAAGATTAAATATTGAGACAGCAATGAAATTTATGGAGGTAAGATGGAGCTCAACATCTACATCAGGAGTGAATGAGTGCCATTTAGATTAATTCTGAGTAATCTCACATAACGTTCCCAACTGCTGGTAGTGATTATAACATGGACCCATTCCAAGTAGTTTGCATCTATTAATATAGCTTAGATTAACAACATTCCTTCCAAACTACTTCTACACCAGCCAACGTCATGAGTCGAGTAGAAAACATGACACATACCTTAACTGTTTCAGTAGATGAGGATTTATGACCTGATTTGTTATATTTGCCCAGGTTATCTTCGAAACGAGTACATGTGGACTAAATATTGAGTGTTAGATGGGAATAATAAATAGTTCGTTAAGATGGTGAACTGTTCTTACGTAGGACACACATCATTAGTTATGCTTAACAAACCATAACGCTGATGTGCTATACTGGAGGACAAGAAAGTAGTGTGAGTTCAGAAACGATTAGGGGCAGCCAGACGTAGACATGAGTTAAACAAATGAATAATTGTTTTAGTTTAAACTTTTATCAAAAGATGATATCTTGATTACGGTAGAAAGAATGATTTTGACTGATAAGGAGACAACAGAAGTTACGGAATAGGCTTGTATTATCATAGTGTGGTGTGAGCTACTTATAAGTAGTATATGATGTGAGTGTCAACGTAATGTCTAGCAGCAGAAGATGGGGGAAGATCAAGAGAAAGGAAGTTAGAACACAATGGAATTTGTATGAAACGCATGAATAGTGACAATGGATTGATGTTTTGCAACAGGAACAGTCCAGTTCGATAGGATGAACTGATACTTTGCAAATTAACGATTTACGATATGGTTTTCCAATTTTACTGAGTAACTCTGTAATTTCGCTAAATACAATCCGGTTGCCCCACCTGTCTTCTCGTTCACTACAATAGTACTTTCTTTGTGATCATCAAAAATTATTACCCTCAATAATACGTTCATTTTTTTTTAGTTTCCCCCATTCGTTAAATCAGAACAACAAATGCAAGGAAATAGATCATAAAAGAAAAAAATTAATGGACTGAAGAAACGAGAATTAAATGATTTTTGAGGACATTTTTCAAATAAATGTAAAAACATTTCGTTATGACACAAAAACACTGTAATCTGATAACAGGTACAAGCTTACCTAAAAGCTTTGTATAATGGTCTGAACCAACACACATACGACGATGGTATACAAACTATGAATACGAGAATAGCAACACCAAATAAACTTCCTCCATAGTATTGAGAAGTACCGGCAAAGTATATCATTGCTGTGAACAAGTTCACAAACAACAAACAAGCGTATGACATCCATAAATAATATCCAAACTTGACTACATTTTTGTACTCTGGTACTATTTCTGTTTCAATGTTTTGATAAAAGCAAGGATTACAAGGAAAGAAGGATGGTAGCGGAGGCCAATTCTTGGCTGCAATACCTACGGAAAACAAAAAAAGAAAATTGTAAATAACACGTCGTACATGACTTGTAATATCATGAAGTAGCTAACTAATAAAGTAAAACAGTAGCATTTAGAAAAAAAACAGAAAATAATGAAATCACAGTGATTCAGAGAGACAGAAGTTTTTTGAGATTTACACTGATTTGGGAGTTGTAATAATATACTACTGAAAGTAAGAAATCCAAAGCTTTTAATGTACATTTTCGAAAGTGAAAATAAGTAACCTTTGGTGATGTTAACTGGAGGGAAGTATTTATCCATACCATAGGAGTACTTTAAAATGAACACTTTCGAAGAGTCGTAGAAGACTACGACTTGAAATTTACACGACCATTTAGATATTCCCAACCGTAGCCGCCACTTAGACGTGATGGTTGGGCTTGCCTATCATGATAACTCGACTGAATTATACTAACTGGAACTCATGTTCTTTTAGGTCCTACCACGCCAAGTAGGTCGGTTGCAGGATGGTAAGACCAAAAGCAGCAACTGAGAGTCTGAGGGCAAACTTGTACTGCTGACAGTAGAGGAGTGTGATGACATCAGGGTGTTTCCCTCAGACAACCAGCATCTGCAGTTGCCTCCTCATAACGAAAGGGTTGAGAAAAGGTCGAACCAGTATATGTCAGATCCTACCTTACTCCATACATTCCCGTCTCTCATGGGATGAAGCATTGGAACTTCATCAGTTGAGGTGGTTGGGACATGTGTTATGGACGACTAACCACCGACTGCCTCGACGAGCTGTTTTGTGATGTAGGAGTAGGTTGGAAGAAAGTTAGGGGCGACCAAACCAAAACATGGCAGAAATCCATGAAGTCACTGACTAGTGGACTGAGTCATGTTGGTAGATGTAGACTACCTGGTTGGGGTCCGCGAGACAAAAGTCACCAATGGTTAGAGACGTTGAACGACATGGCTCAAAATCGTTTGCAATGGAGCAAGTGCATCCATTCATTGTGCTCTCTCAAATCCTAATCTTTTGGATTCGCCAGCACCTCTAACTTTGTCTTTCTAACCTTATCTCACTGAATTATACTTCTTGAATAATACCTTCAAACCCTAGTCTTCTTCATTACCATTAATACCTTACATACGTACGAAGTTCTACGTTGCAACTGACTGAGATTTTATGTAGAATCTGGGAACTGGATGTAATCCCACCCAACTGGTCTCAATCACTGATTATCTCGGTCTATAAAGAGGAAAGTCCTCTTTTCACAATCACAATGGAATAAGTTTAACTAATATAGTGTTTAAAATATTAGCTTCAATAATGCCTTAGAACAGCTCATGAAGAGCACTCGGGAAAACCAAGCTGCTTTCCGACCTGAACGTCAGTGTATAGACTATATATGCACACTTCGTCTGGTCTTAGAACATGGACACTCATTCAGACTTCCACTAACATTCGTATTGTATCACTTTTTATATTTGTAATAATTCGATAACAGTATCGATTATTGTACGTTGGATTGTGTGTGTGTATGCTTACTCGCTTATCACATGTCTAACTTATTATTTCTTGACTATAAATACTTAGTCATTGCTTTAACGACGAAAGGTTGGTTCACTCGCCTTCTCCAATTCGTTTCGCTTTGCTTGTATGCTTTTCATTCTCATATCTGTCTGCATAAATAAATACATGAAGTAAATTCATCCATGAAACCGTATTTGGCTTCTTACTACCACCTTCGGACGAACGGGATTTGCCTAAGTATGATATACTGAATTTAAGAGATAAAGAAAGTTCGACACTGCATGTTCACTGGCAGTGTCTGTCATTGAAAGGTGTTCAGGAGAATTACATAGAACTCGTACAGGCTCTTTACTCAAACACCACTGATTGAGTCAAAGCTTATGGCGAACTGTCATCGGCATTGATTACTTCAAGTGGTGTCCGCCAGAGATGTCCACTTTCTCCATTCTTGTTTATTTTGTCGTTGACATGCTTTTCGAAACGACACCATCATATAACTTTTCAGGAATTGAACTTTTACCAGGAGATTTACTTGTTCATCCGGATTGATTACATCATGTAGTGTTCGATGAGATTGTCCGCTCTCTGCACTTTTATTCAAGTCCCGTCGTCTGAGCGGTTAATTTGCCACGAGTCACTTGTCGACGTAGAATATGCAGATGACATAGTTCTGTTTGATGAAGACGCTTATAGAATCTTCTGACCATCTTAAGCAACAATGAAAACATGTTCAAGATGCGATTCCTCACCCCTTCACTGAAAAATGTTGCTTCAGGATTGGCTTGTGTTGGCACCTAAACTAGTAACAGGGAGTGAAGTTGGGTGTCGATGGCTTCATTTAAATTGTCTCATCAGTCAAATGAGTGACCTAATGTAACTAATACACCACGTCTAACATTAGTATAGCTTACTTAGTGGTCTCGATATACGGCAGCAGTGGTTTTAAAACATCCATGCTCAGATTCTTGTGACCTAAACAGGCCCCCGAATTTCAAAAACTACGTTTAACAGTTATAAGGTAAAACAGGACAACAGTGAGGCTCACTGACCTCGTAACGACATACGGGTATCTGGCTTAGACCACATGCAGTCATTCAGCTGCAACGTAGAACTTGTTACGCATATACATCAGTTCAAGTCTCTATATCACATTAGCACAAAGGGATGGAATTGTCAATCCAAATCCTATAGTAGTAGAGGTTGTAGCAGGGACCGAAGATGTGATTCCAGAAGCACAGTTCAGGCAGTACAAGTTAATAAACGCTGGGAGAAATTTTTGGATTTATGCCTAAATCTCCCTAGTTCCCAAAAAACGACTTTAATGGGACGTCTAAACAAGGTGGTCAATACTGCCAAACTACTGAACTTCCTGAAGGAGATTAAAAGATTAGTATGAGCAATAGAAATAGTTAGTCAATGGAGTTAAACGGATATTTTACGAATATAACCACATTTGGCCGTCGGTATATACCTATACTCTTGATAAAAGATAATGAATCAGTCAGAAAATCCATAAACAAGTTTGACACCTGTTTTATTTCCTCATGTTTTGTTGAAGACCAGGATTTAGGCGTTGAATAATAGTGGTCGCAAATGGTGTGGTTATCACGAATGGGCTTTTAATACTAGCTTAGGTGACCTTTCTGCAGCCTTTAGGATTCAGTCGTTGGCTTTTGTATGTTTTCAAGAGATACGACGCATGTAGGTATCTATTTTATGAGAGTCTAAGAACAATTAGTCAAGTAGACTTGCATAGAGCAGTTATTTTGAAGGCTGGGGAATAAAAACATAGTATCCGTTGTGTGATGTAAATGGGGTCGTGTATTAAAGTAAATAGTTTCCGGATATTATTTAAATATGTAGGAAGTCAGATAATAATTTTTCGCTGTGTAAACTAACTACAAAGGCACAGACGAACATCTGTAGATACAGTGACGATAATCAATTCGTGTTCTTAGTCATGACTAAAATCATTCATTCATGATTTCTGATGTCAAACTCGGAATCTTTTGAAATAGCAGGTTTTAAACACAAATTCGGAGGAATATCAGGTTAACCTAAAGAAAACGAGCCTTAGTATCTTTGCTCTTTATTAAATGTTAGTACTAACAAATAAGCTTTAAAACTATACTACTGATTGCGCATAATCACTCTCTGATTAAATGTATGAAACGGAAGATAATTCAGGTAAAAGAAAGGATTACAAACCTTGGGACGCTGATCGGTTTTGTTCCTCTCTTGTTCGTTGTTCTTCTTCTTTTCGTGCTAGTTCTGCAGCCTTTGCATCCAGCTCTCTCTGACGACGTTCGAGCTCTGCGGTTGTAATTTTTTGAGCCTGAGTGGCAGTGTATGGATATGGTGGCACAGAATTAGCGGTATGACTACCCTGCTTAGTGTCCCCACTGGCCTCAAATGGGTTATATTTATCTAGGACATCCGTATCAACTCGAGAAATCGGAGGGTTATCATGAGAGTTAGTCTGTAGATAAAATTCTAGTATTGAAAAATAGGACAAACCGGTGCCAACTTCGCCACTGGATCTGCGAAGGGGTTCTCCATTTACAGTAGCCAACAGTGTCAGACAAGACGCGAATATTTTTAGTCGATTTCAATATCCAATATCTCCACACAAGCAAATATAAACCAGCTAATTTCTTTGAGCTAGCTTTTAATTAGTTCGGTGCCATTCCAGGTATTTGGTGATGTCCAATGGGTGGTAGTCTATCACCTCAACTGCACTAATTCAAATCAATTGGTTGTTATTTATGAATTTCTATGTCCCATGATATAAGTGGTTTTTGAATACTAAGAGATAATATGTTAGCGGGTCAAATATCAGTAACTTGCAGTGTGGAAAAAATAAGTATGCACGAACCTGGGTGTTCCCTCTTTGATGATCAATTTTTCGAGGTTTATCTCGAGGGGCGTGACGTTGATGTTTAGGAAAGATGCTCCTGATGGGATGATTCGGAGTAATCACTGTGTTATATGACATTATCGGATCTCCTCTGATCCTTTTATAACTTAGAGGTAGTAATACCAAGTGCTGGAGTCTGTCTTCGTAAGGTTTGTTCTTCGACATAATCGCCCATTTAGTTGCTCATCTCTGCTCTTAATCCAGGAAATTTGTCTCGCTTAAGGGGACGTTGTAAACCTCAAGATGTGGGAGTGTGTATGTCTTCAAGAACATTAAGAATACTTCTTTGGTTAAAGCATCAAGTTATTTTCACGCATAGAGTCATCCTCGGCTACGTCCCCTATGTAGTCAAAACTACTGTCTAGACTTTCTGCAGTTATTAAGCCGATATCACTGTCTATGGAGACATTAGGGAGCGGACTTCCAGTGGGGATGTAAGTCATTTGTGTCACGTTGAAAAAAGTGTTCTTAACGCGATATTTCGACTGGTTTGGTTTTAAACAGGTGTAAGGTAGTTTGGTCGCTCGGTTGAATCCTCTTCACTGCTTATCAACCTCCAGATATTATCATAGTCTGCGTGATTTAATGCCACTGAGCTAACCTTGTCTGACAAAATATTATTGAATATCAGGAAGAGGATTGGACCTGTTAAACTTCTTATGTTGAGACTCGCCGGCTAGCATACACTCTATTGAACTTACAGTAATAATAATAATATATTTATCCTCAAATAACGGAGTGTTACAAGAGGCATGCCATTTTACAGGCTAGATCAAATTGTTACAAATGCTACCAAATTTACTGTATAGGTTTGCTCAGTTATAATGGAAATAAGAGTCTCTTTCCGATAGCACATTTACACCATGTCACCAACAGGAACAGTACGACAAAGTCACATTTTCAACAAGTGAATACAAATAGTGTAAGTACATAGTAGAGTTCTTGGGTCGTTTGCTTTATTCAGGAGTGAATTTGTTGGGTGGTGTTGATTGGAAGGCATTTGATATAAGCTGTAACCTAGGCGTACGCGCACTTTAGGTGTATTTTGCGTAGAGACAGCACGGCTGTTACACCGCTGATAGGGTTCTTAGAAGGGAGTAAAGAGAGAAAAGGAGCAGAGAGTCAATTGTATTTATATAACCAGAGCATTTTTTTAACCGTCCTTGGTGGAATGGACAAAGCGATGGTAAGTCAAGATAATGAGCCAAGATAGAAGTGGATGAATGAAACCCATCGTCGTAACCTCCGTCGCGTCTAGGAATACGTAACGTACCGTGTCGAAACCTTTTGCGAAGTCAAAGTATATTACTTAAACCAGTCGTCTACCTTTCCCATCTTAGTAGAAGATTGGATGCACATGAGTTGCCATTCCTGGCTCCTTGTTAGGCTTCATAGAGAATGTTGTTATCATCCATACCTTGTCTCATTTGCTTCCCCACCAGTCCTTCTGATATCTTCCACAGTATTGGTAGTTATGTGATCGATCTGCAACAGGTTGAATCCCTCCTATCACATCCTTTAAGCATAAAAAAGAGAGAGTAGATTTTTTCCGTTCAGCTGGGAGTTAATGTAACTCTAGCGAATGCCTGAACATGTCACATACCCGTGAACTGAGGTGTTCTGCACTGTTTCAAGAAGATAAGGGGGATATCATTACATCCTGATGACATTTCTGGACTCAGAGATTTGTTGTCTTAGTATTAAGTCAGGAGTAAATCGGGTATTAGCCGTGTCATCGTCTGCCGATAGATTTGAGTAGTGTCCTAAGGTCCTGCGTACCGTCAGTGTGATCGATGTAATAGATCTCAACTACCTCTGGACTTGTAAGGTCTTCGCCACTTGGACCGCTGAGATCATAAACAATCTTGATCGCACGGTATTTTTGGTCCCGAACTTCAGCAGACATTTTGAGCTTGCTTGTGTTTCGGCAGCCTGCTTTGCCCGGAATCGTCTCCTATCTCTTCGAACTTCAGTGTTACATCTGTTTCTCAATATCAGGAGAGACTTCTCAATTGCTCCAGGATCTTCTCTTCGCGTGTAGCAAGCTTTCAGTGCCCCACTTGACCCATGATTTCACTTTGCAGGTGCATGATTTATCTGGACTATGTTGGGTGGCACCGCGTTTTGAAGAATGTCTCTATTTGTTCTCAGGTGATCGTGTAGTGTTAGCCTACCCCATTCTCGTGGCCGTTGGCCGTTTAGTAAAATGCTGTCCCATGATCATTAAGTTTGCCCTAGTGTGGAGTGTTAGACAGCATCTCCTCCACTCGTACCTACTTCGTTTACAACAACGTTTTACATGACCGTACCATGGTAACTTCTTGCTAATGGTGTGGAGATGAACATCCACGACCGGAAACTAATCATTTGTCCTACTCGATCTGGTGACGTCGAACATGAAATTTCATTCTGTCCCGAAATTCATAATGCTGAGAACCAACCACTACTAGAACCAACCTGTAGAAATTGTAAGCTGTTTTCTGAGATATAAAGATGGATTGTTGGAATCGATAGGTAAGAGTACTTGATGAAACAGAAGGGTTGGTGGTTGCAGTATTGCCTCAGTCAACTTTCTGTGCTTTAGTATTTGAGGGTGGTTAGCCAGGTAAGGTGTAATGTTACGTTCTTGAAACGGCTGCTAATATATGGCCACTGAATTCCCTGTTTTCGGTGCCCTATGGCACCGGCAGAGTGTCATTACTTTCAAGCTTACTTTGTCGTCTGCAACGTTGGGGGAGAGTCACGTTACAGTTAGGATTATTATCTTTGGATTCATTATTAAAGTACATATCCCTGACCTCTCTCAACTGACGCCGCAGTTCTCTTACCTTGCAAAACAGGCACTTGATAGTTTGTCTTATCACCCTGGCAATTCTGTAGCGACAGGCGCTCCCAGGTCTTTAAACAAATTCATTAATTCTGTTTAGTTTGTTCTGTGGAAAGTGGCCGCTGCCGATATATACAAGTGTAGCGTATTCAGTTGGTGAGACTTGTGTATTTGCATCTTGTACCCTGGGTTGTCTCCCAATGATAGCCGACACTAGGGGCCTTGATTACAAGTTGACGAAAGGAATGTGGAGTGCTTAAATAGCCTTCAAATTCGTAGTAGTTATGAAGAATTAAGAGAAAAAGTCTATATTCTTCTACTATGGATCAGACACTGGTTTGGATATGAAAATATGTCATATGGAATTTCCTTAGTCTTGATGATCATTTTGATGATGACTTCAGCATTTTCGAGGGAGAAAAAGTCGGATCACTTTAGGTTATATAGAACATTGAGAACCAAATTACTAACAGGTTTACAGATTCGTGCTTTGTAGGGTCGTTGCTCTGGCTGTCCATTTTAAGCCAGTGGATCTGCATCAGCATATTCTGAAAATACGGAGCCTTCATTCTATTTCATAGCTACGCAGTTCGTTACGTTTTGTCTAAGTATCTTGTTCTTTCATGGTGAATATTGAGATTTTGCTTAGGTCACCACTAAACTAAAAGTCTTAGCCTGCACCAGTCGCTTTTCATGGAATGAACGTGCCAAGTCATCCAGAAAGTTCAGATAATCGATTCGTTCCCAATGTTATTACTGCATTCTCTAAACGTACTACTCATAATGCTTGTAAAGACCACGAAAATGAGGAAAGACGAGAGTGAGTAATCTTTCCTAACATCTGAAATTACTTAGGATACATTTGTGAGCTTTCCTTCTTGAATGGCTTTATTATCGAAACAGTCGAAGCAGTTCCTCATTACAGTAACGATACTTTCATGTACTTCCATATGGGCAAAAATATTTTCCTAAGCTCTTCCTGAGCACGACGTCAAATACTCTCTCAGAACCAAGGAATATATTATGCTTAAGTTACTAAATGTCTCACATTTTTTTGTGTCACATATTTTCCTGCTTTCCTAGGCTTGTCTGACTCCACTTGAAGCCCCTCAAGGGCTACTTCCGGTCCCAAGCCCGGAAAAATTTAGGCCATTTGATGTTGTGTTCGTGACCTAATCCCGTAAAACTCTAACTCTATGAAAATCACTTGTCAGAAAAAATTCAAACCATAATAACTCTGCCCTGGGAGTTAGAAGCTCTTCATTCAGAGGGACGAGTTTCTTCGGAAGTCATGGGCCGATGCCCATTCTGACATCCTGAGCAACCAGCGTTTTAGGCACATGGAGTGTTCGAACAATATCGAAGACCGGGAGATTCAGCCAAGTTGCTACAGAAATGAAAAGTTACAACCTGGAGGTTCATGGAGCCAGTGAAACTCACTAGACGCAGGTTAGACCACTAAGACTAGCTTCAGGAAAGCTGCTGTTATACTAAGACCGTGTAGAAAAAAATGCCTTACACACATAAGGAGTCGCACCGATGCTGTCTAAGCAAGCACAAAAGGCACTAATAGGATGGGACACTAATGAACCCAGGATCATCAATGCATCCTTCAAAACAAAGAAAGGAGGCAGTTCAATGATATTCATCCAATGCTATGCACCTACCAACGATTACAATGACGACGTAAAAGATGAATTCTACGAGAGGCTGCAGTTAGTAGTCAACATATACTCATCGAAAGATTTGACCATTCTGATGGGATATCTAAATACCACGGTTGGTATAGATAACACTGAATTTGAAGACATCATGCGACGACATGTACTGGGAGAATAAAAAGAATGGTGAGAGGTTTGCAAACTTATGTGCCTTCAACAAACTTGTCATAAGCGTCACAATATCCCCGCACTAACACATACACAAGGGTACATGGGTTTCACAGGGTCACACTATTCAGAACCAAATCGACCGTATCTGCATCAATAAAAAAATTCAGAAGGACCATGGAGGACGTGAGAACCAAGAGGGGAGCTGACATAGTCTCAGATCACTACTTGCTAGTCACCGAAATGAAAATGAAACTCAAGAAGCACTGGACAACGGGGCAGACAACATCACAGAAGTTTAATACGGCCCTTCTTCTGGATACTGTCAAACAACAAATTCCAGATAGCCCTCAGAAATAGGTTACAGGCCTTGCACGACATACTCAATGGATAAGAAACTACTATGAAGAACAATTGGAAAGCGACCAAGTAGGCAGCCACTTCAACATGTCACGAGGTTCTGGGCCACAGGAAGTGTATAAATGACCTCGACATACTGAATAGATAATTGTCAACTGAAGAGTCTTAAGTCATAGCACGAAGTTGCTACATGGTGAATAAACAGTAAAAACAACGGAGGAATAGAACAAGTGAAGCACAGGTGATTAAAATGAGGCACACAATTTAGGCAAACAATCATTATTGCAAGTATTTAGAAGAAAGAGCAGGACAAACGTTCAAGATATAATGAAAAGACTTTCATTACGATCAATTTTTGAACACATGATTCAGGATTCGGACGCCTGATGACAACAATATTTAGAATGAACTGTGGTAGTCTTGATCTCGACTCACTTATTATAACTTTTGAAATTTGTGAAATATCCACTTGACGTCGTGTTCGAAACAGATATTCAATGATTGAAATGCCGACTGTGACAAGCATATAATAATTTAAAAAACCATTTAAAGCAACGTGAACTGAGCGCTTACCAACATGAACTTTGACTCGTGAACATGTTTTATTTTATAAGTAATTAAATTATTCCAGATTCGCAGTAGATCCTGGCTAATGCTAGATTGAGCAGTTGATCAGAACCAAACGAAATAGAAAGTAGATTCATGTCATTCGGCTCAAATCTTTCTTAATCCTACTCGATTCAACATGATGGATAGAATTTAGAATTGTAAATAAAATTTAGATACCTTTTTTTTCTTCAGTAGTGTCAAGACTGATTACTGCTTCCTGAAAATCATTAAAAACGGTTTCATGAATTTATGTTTTCGGAGTCAACAATTTATACTGATTTCAAAACTACTCAAACACAACTGCAAAAAACGATGCGAATCAGAATTTTATGATGAAAATTTTTTAATGATTGATGTTAATTTAGAAGTTTAGGTGATCTGTGTGTTATTTTGGGTCAGTGATAGTAATAGTAACAAGATAATTTAGATATTTTCTTCTTGTATTTGATTTGGTGAATGCACAATGTATAAGTTATTATGTAAACCTAGAAATTCCGACTCATTCTTATGATTATCGTGTGGATCACATTCATATGGACAAGCTTGATACGTCATTCGAGATTAACTTTATCAATTACTCCCCAGTGAATTTCGTATTATCGAATAAATAGATTCAGATTGATGCATGACACTGTAGTTGTTGCTGTGTAATGCAATATGGATAATGATAACCATACTGCAGCTTATCAAATGCGTTCATCAACACAATTATTTTTGTGGTATAGTGGTGAGGATGTTAAACTACATATTGGCGATCATCTATCATGTTAAGGTGTTATGGTGAAATATCCATTTATGTGTTAGTGCAAATCTCAAATACTTTTAATAATGATTGATACATTTAAAACTTATTTATTTCTCAAAGAACGCCGCGAGTAGAACCTTAGGGGCTACTGTCGGTCCCAAGCCCGGACAAAGGGGGAGGGTTTGACATGAGGTTGGCGTCCCTATTCCGTCAAAAACTAACTTGCCAAAAAACGCTACCCAGAAAAATTAATTCAAACCATTTTCACACTGCCCTGGGAGTTGGAAGAAGAATTATGACATCGCGTGATGGAAGCCAAGTTCCCTCGGAAGTCACGGTTCCGATGCTTATTCTGACAACCAGAGCAACCTTTCTTTTAGGTACATGGAACTTTCGTTCATTGTGGGAAGTCTATTTCAAGTTTCGGCAGAAATGAAAATTAACAACCTCGAGGTGTTCGGTATCAGGGAAACGCATTGGACACCGATAGGACAACTGAGACTAGCTTCAGGGGAACTACTGTAATACCCTGATCATGAAGAGGCAAATGTTTCACGTACACAAGGAGTTGCACTGATGCTCTCCAAACAAGCACAAAAGGCACTGATAGGATGGGAATCTCATGGACCCAGGATAATCAACGTATCCTTCAAAACAAGTAAAGAGGACATTACAATGAACGTCATTCAATGCTTTGCACCTACCAATGACTACAATAACAACGTTTAAGATCAATTCCTTGAAAGGCTGAAATCAATCGTCGAAAAATGTTCACCAAAGGATTTGACGATTCTTATGGGAAACCTGAATGCCAAGGTTGGCATGGACACCACTGGATATGAAGACATCATGGGAAGACATGGACTGGGAGAAAGGAACGAAAACGGTGAGAGATTTGCAAACCTATGTGCCTTCAACAAATTGGTCATCGGTGGCACAATATTGCCGCACAAACGCATTCGCAAATCTACAGGGATTTAACCGGACCACATTACTCAAAACTAAATTGACCATATCTGTATCAACAAAACGTTCAGAAGGACCATGGAGGATGTGAGAATCAGGAGAGGAGCTGGTATAGCCTCAGATCACCACTTTCTGATCGCCCAAATGAAACTGAAACTAAAGAAGCACTGGACAAAGAGGCAGACAACATAACAAAGGATTGATACGGCCTTGCTCCGGGATATCGTAAAACTCAACGAATTCAAGATAGCCCTCACCAAAAGTGACAGGCCTTTTAGTATCAATTCAATGGAGAGGACGCATCATTGGAGAACAATTGGAAAGGGATTAAGGAGGCAATCACTTCAACATGTCACGAAGTTCTGGGTCACAAGAAGTACCATCACAAGGAATGGATCTCTGTTGATACTCTTGCAAAAATCGAAGAAAGGAGTAACAATTAGACAGCAATCAATGTCAGCCGAACAAGAGAAGAGAAAGTTACCGCACAAGCTGCATACACAGAAGCAAATATGGAAGTGCAGAAGAGCATCAGAGCTGACAAACGAAAATATGTGGAAGATCTAGCAATGACGGCGGAAAAGGCTGCAAGAGACGGAAACTTGAGACAATTGTACGAAACAACAAAGAAGCTCGCCGGAAACTATCGTAAACCAGAACGACCAGTGAAACTCAAGGAGAACAATGTAATCAGCAACACTGAGAACAGCGAAATAGGTGGGTAGAGCACTTTAAGGAACTATTGAATCAACCAGCTCCACTGAACACACCCAACATCGACGCAGCATCCACGGACCTCCCAATTATTATTAGCGCACCTATGATTGAGGAGTTCAGTATGGCCATCAGACAAACCAAGAGCGGTAAATAGTCTTTAATAGATTGATTTACGTCCTTGATACACCCTCAAATGAAAAATGACACTTAGTCTCTTGGCTTACAGAGACAAATGCTGCCTTAAAATCAAGAAATGCAACAGTAGTCAGGCATCAGAAAAGAGACAGTTGTTCAAACGCATGATAGAGAGTGAATGCATGACAGGCAGATCCACAACCAGGTCTGAAATCAGTCTCGTTTACTCCGATTTGCACTTTTGTGTCTTAATTAGGCGACGAATGTCTATAGAGGCTAGTAATGCGGACACTATAGTAGTTAAACTGATTCTTGTGTGTCTATCGCAAGGGTATTTCGGATCCTTTTTTAAAATGGAACGATTTAGGTCAGTCAGTTATGATTACGTTTAGTTCCCAAAATCTAGCTGGCACCTTTGCCAGCCGTGGTGCTAAAACTGAACCACCATCCTTAACGATTTTCAGAGCCTATCGCTTTCTCCTGATCTAATGTATATATGGAATTCCTAAGATTAAGTTAGCTTTGTGTCGATTTCTATTTTATACTGTTTGGGAAATGGGGTTATTGGGAATGTAGTAGCCAGCATATATCAAAACGTTTTAATAAATTTAATTTTTGTGAATCCTAATGCATCCATCAGCATCATATGATTTGGCTGATACTATAAACAGAAGATTGCTTTTCATGCTTTGTAAAAATGTAAAAGTTCCCATCAATAATCCGTTCATTTGTTTATGTTTGGCCGTAACAATATCCGATTAAAATATTGAATGTATGCAGCAGATCAGACTATTATGATATCTGACAAGTGAACAATAGAGAGTGCAATCATCGTTCACATATTTTGATGATTTAGGAAGAAATATTGATGAGATATGTCTTTAGGGTGTTCAGTTTACCGCTCGATGTATTATGCGAGGTGAGTTAACTATGTCTCCTGTGATAAACTAATCTATCTTGATATTCCAGGTGACCGAATTTTTGTTTTTCTTTGTTAAACATATCACTAGCAACTTTGAGGCCCCTTTACATTTTTCTTGGCTCTAATTCTAGAAGAATATACAAAATCTGTCGTATCGAAAATGAATATAATCCATAGTAGTGGTATTCGGTTTATAAATTGGATTCAAAACTGTGAAGTGAGTAAAGTAAAATTCCGTTGTGGTAACGAATTACACTTCATGAAATTTTTTGATGAACTAATCTGTGTATATGTGGTTCTTTATTAAATTAGCCTATTTACTAGTGATAAGTCTAAACATAGCAACTGTTAAAGGCTTTTTTGTTTCTCCTCAAAGTTAATAACTATATCTTTTTACAAAAATAAAAAAGATGATAATGCCGTCCATAAAATGCACATTTTCAACTTTGGTAGTGAACTTAACTTTAGAATATTCTGAAGGGATACCTGGCTGTCTTTGCTTTAAATTGCATGGGACCAAACTTTCGAATGAGTTGATGACATTCATATTTAGGGTTGGATGGGGAAAGTATGGATCCAACCCAGAGCTTCTCTAAACCAAGGGGTAGCAGCGATTTTTAATCGTGAATGTCAGTTGATAGTTAGCAAATCACTGCAGTATCTTTTTTCATTATAAATTATCTACTATTCATAAATTATCTAGCGGTTAATAGACTAGTCGGAGTAAATTCATTGAATATGCTTATGTTGAGGGTAAGGGATGATCCATGTGTTATAGCATGATATAATTAGTCCTACCTTGGTTTGTAATTTTAAAATTTCTTAGTCGTAAGTGATAATATATCTCATGTGGATTTCATATGAAGGTGTCTTGATTTGCCTGTCTCAATACACGCTGGTTTGTTATTGTCACAGTCTAAGCGTCTTAAAACTCAAAACTAATCCAAATAATAAATCGTTAACTAGTGATAAAAATAAACAGTCTTTCATTCAGTTGCCAGTTCTTGTGATTTAGACGAAAGCACCAGCTGTGAGGTCAGGGAAATCGTTTATGAAAGCACAAAACAATTTTTAGCCGAAGTTTAGTAATAAGAAATATAAATTCAGTCATAATTAAAAATTTATTCACACATGGAATTACACGGATGTACTTTTGTATAAGTTTTCAAATTTGTGTGGGTAGTCATTGATCGATTTGTGTTTGAAATTAGTCGCCTTTGAAATTGCTCAGTGTCGAGTGACCCATGTTAACTTTGAGGACGAAATTTCGACGTGCGCTTTAGTCATTATGACTGTGATACTCGCAACTGCAAATGTTTAGCAACCAATTTACCGATGTTGTTATTGTAGAAAATTCTTCACAAAAACTTGTCACATCGATGTTGATTTCTTCAGCTTCAATATACGTACAGTTTCTTTTTGTTCATGTCGTTATTCTGACTAGTAAAGAGTTACTGTATAACTCATAAAGTAAAATGAATGCATATTTTCGTCACATAAAGTGGTTTCGGATACATTTCATAAAGTCCCATCTGCGAATTGCTTAATCCCACTTCCTATTTGAATTCATGGAAGTACATATAGCTGTCTTCGATGAACGTGCCAAAGATACGGTTTATGAAACAATGTAATTGTATATGAAACCACCAGAATTACATGCTTTAATACTTTGGTAACAGTATTATATTCATCTGTTGGAAGGTAAGGGTACACAGAAGTCATTAAAGAGTAATAAAGGATTCGTTCGTTGTACAGAATATGCATTGTTCTGATCTGACCACCTTTGGTATTTTGAATCCTTATTCCGCTTCAGGTGGAATTTCATGCTTAGACAAACAATAGCCATGTCTGTTTAGTAGTTTGAGTTCGATCAGTTTCTTGAAGTTGTCGAGTGATCTGACCTCTTTTTCCTCAACTCCTCGCCTAAACCCGATGCCTTTCACTTTGAGGGAAATCGTAGTATGAGTAACTGTTTTGCTGTTATCTGTTAGTTTATGTCAGTCAGTCAGTTACAACGGGCAACTTTGTACTTACGTAGGTATATCGGTTCAAGTTGCCGTAAAACATTAGCACGGAGGCGCAACTGTCACTTCAAATCCCACAATAGTAGAGATAGCAGAAGTATTAGCAGTACTCGGAGAGAATAGGGTTTGAAGATATTATTCAAGAAGTATAATCTAGTGAAAATAACCTAACAAGAATACGATAAAGGTGATGAGGAACTCCGAAGGTTAAGATTTGAGAGAACACAAAGAATGAATGCACCTGCGCCATTGCAAGCGGTTTCGAATCATGTCATTCAAGGTCTCTAACCATCGATTACTGTCATCTCGAGGGCCCCAACAAGGTAGTCGACACCTACCGACATGACTCAGTCCACTTGTCAGTGACTTCATTGATTGCTGCCATGTTTTGGTTTGGCCGCCACTAGCTTTCTTCCAACCTATTTCTACACAGCAAAATATAGCTCCACGAGGCAGTCGGTGCTTGGGCATACGCAACACATGTCTCAACCACCTCAACTGATGAAGTTTCACTACTTCATCTATTGATCAGCCATCCTTACCTAGGCTTTATTTACTAACACCAAAATTGCTTACTCGATTGTCCCAGGACACACGAGTAATGCTTCTAAGACACCTATGATCGACAACTAGTAACGTACGAATATCTTCTACTCTGATCGGCCATGTTTCGCAGCAATAAAGTAGAATGGAGCAAACTGCTTCACAGTAGACTCGTCCTTTAGTTAGCAAATGGATGTGAAGCCATTAACAAATTTGTGTGCAGATGAACATATTCCTTTTTTCTGCTTTTGTATTTTCATAGTCAAAGCAAAGTTTTAGAGCGAATTACTTTTGAATGGATACAATTAAACTAAAGTGTCTGGGGATACATTGCTTACATATGTCAGACTAAAGGCACCTATATAACATGTCTGAGTGGATTGAATCCATTAGTTAAACACTGGAACAATATTGACAAAAGTTTCCTTCAATTTATTATTTGATAAAAGATTCAGTGAAATGTGTTAGTATTTTATCATCAATCTATTTGTTTTGATGATATGGTCGGTTTATTTTATTTAGTAGATTAAGTCTCTCTTACACACTAGATTTCAATATCAATAGCTCTCAATTTTTATTGTCTGAATTTCAGCAACTGGAACCTTTGTTCACAGCCGTTAGTCATTTCGGTAGTCCTAATACTGCCTACTTATTGACATTTCCAACTGCTTATTATATTGATCCAACTTTAGGCATCATGACAATCTTATGCGCAGCTACAGCTGACTGGTTAAACGGAATACTTAAGTGGTTAGTATTTTTCTGATTTGTGTTTAAGGTTGTAATTTTTATAAGATTTTGAAAAGTTTAGTTTATCAAGTATTTGATTGACAATTTTTACTTTACATCCGTTCTTTTAATATCCTGCTTTTGTCTGTTTTTTCAGTCATTAGTAAAACGAAACTATTGTTCTGCAGTAATCTTCATTTTAAATTGCTTGCATAATATCAGATATAAATGTTGTACTGCAAAGACTGAGGCAGGCAAGGTAGATTGTATCATGCACATTTACACTCTGAGTCAGTTAAAAATGAAAACATTACATTGAATAGTCTATTTGCACACCATCTTTCAGTCGTGACTTCCAACACTCCATCCTTCTTCCATTGCTGTTGTTGCTTCCTTTCCTTCTTGTTGGTACTCTATTTACTTCTTGATTTTGCTCCATTTGCTTTCCGTTTTCCTCTTCTGACCGTTCGACTTCTTCTTTCATATCCCTTCCTAAACCACTTATGTGGTGTGAGCTACTTATAAGTAGTATATGACGTGAGTGTCAACGTAATGTCTGGTGGCAGCAGAAGATGATGGGGGAAGATCAAGAAAGGAAGAGTTAGAAGAACACAATGGAATTTGTATGAAACGCATGAATAGTGATAATGGATTGATGTTTTGCAACAGGAACAGTCCAGTTCGATATGATGGACTGATATTTTGCAAATGAACGATTTACAATATGGTTTTCCAATTTTACTGAGTAACTCTGTAATACAATCTGGTTGCCCCACCTGTGTTCTCGTTCACTACAATTATATCGTTCGTATAAGTAGCACACACCACAGTACCATACATATGTAGAATGAATATCATTTGTTTACAACGAAAAAAAATACCTGTATATCAAATGATTGGAAATCATCGTTGATCATCAAGTCATCTTTAAAAAGTTTACTAACCAAGATACGTTGAAATGAATTAGTTCTAGGATATTTTAGAAAGGAAGCATCGAAATAAATAGAATGCACGAAAAAAAAAGTAATCGAATAATAAATAGTATCAGTTTGCTAGAGATTTAAGTACATCTGTTCGGTCATAACTTGATTTCAAGTGAATTTACTTACTTACTTACTTACTTACTTACGCCTGTTACCCCCAATGGAGCATAAACAGCCGTCCAGTATTCTCCAACTTATTCTGTCCTGGGCTTCCCTCTCCAATTCTGTCCAATGTTTGTTCATTCCTCTCATATCTTTCTCTGTTTCTCGGCGTAATGTGTTCTTTGGCCTTCCTCTTTTCCTTTCACCTTCAGGGTTCCATGTGAGGGATTGTCTCGTGATACAGTTAGGTGCTTTCCGCAATGTGTGTCCTATCCACTTCCATCGATTCGTCCTGATTTCCTCCTCCACTGGAATCTGGTTTGTTTTCTCCCACAGTATGTTGTTGCTGATTGTGTCTGGCCAACGAATACGAGGTATTTTGCGTAAATAACTGTTAATAAACACTTGTATCTTCTGGATGATAGCATTCGTAGTTCTCCAAGTTTCCGCTCCATACAGTAGAACTGTCTTCACATTTGTATTGAAAATCCTGATTTTGGTTTTGTTTGAAAGTTGTTTGGAGTTCCAGATATTTTTCAACTGTAGAAATGCAGCCCTTGCTTTGCCAATCCGCGCCCTCACATCTGCATCGGATCCACCTTGATTGTCGATGAAGCTTCCCAGATATGTAAAGGTGTTAATGTCCTCCAAGGCATCTCCATCAAGAGTGATTTGGTTGGTGCATGTTGTGTTGTATCGAAAAATTTTGCTTTTTCCTTTGTGTATGTTGAGACCTACTGTTGCTGCAGAGGCTGCTGATACACTGGTCGTGAAGCTATTACATAAAACAGATATTCTTGAATAACTTTTCGTAGTTAGTGGAAATGCATAAATAGATGATGTCAAGCAAACTGCATAAATGTAAAGCACTTAATGTCAATCTGGTCACCTGGTTAACTAGTCTTTACAGTTAAGGTGTTTGGAGATAAGAGAGTTGGTAGGAGGTTTATTAGGAAGGACTTGATTGTGACTGATTTGGTCTGGTGTGCTTTGAAGGGCACAGGTGCATCTATTCTTTGGCTTCTCTCAAATCCCAATCCTCAGGATTCTTCATCACCTCCATCCTTTACTGTAAATTTATTTCACTGAATTATACTTTTTGAATAATATCTTCGAACCCTAATCTTCTCCTTTACCGCTAATGCTTCTATTACCTTTACAACTATTTGATTTTAATCTTCAGTTACTTCTCTGTACTAATGTGGTGTAGCAACTTGAAATGATGTACACACGTACGAAGTTCTACGATGTAACTGACTGACTGATTAAGGTGGTTGGGACATGTGATACATATGACCAGCCACCCACTGTAGTGTCGGAGTAAGTTGGAAGAAAGCTAGAGGCGGCCACACCAACACATGGCACAAATCCATGAAGTCACAGACAAGTGAACTAAGCCATGTTAATAAGTGTAGACTATTAGGTCAGGTCCGCGAGACAATAGTAACCGATGGTTAAAGACATTGGATGAAATGGCTCTAAATCGTTTGCAATCGCTCAGATTCATCCCTTCTTTGGCTCCTCTCATGACATGAGGACCTTTATCTTTCCCTTTTCAAATATATGTCACTGAATTATCCTTCTTGAATAATTTCTTCGAACCCTAATCTTCTACTGTCTTTACTACTATGGGATTTGGATTGAAAATCGTATCTATCTGTGCCGATGTAGTATAGCAACCTGAACTGATGTGCATACGTACGATGTTCTACTTTGTAGCTGACTGATTGATTAGTATTTAATGAAATGCTGAACTAGTAATATTTTATTGTAATAAAAGTTATCTTATTTTATGAATATTCATTCATCGTGTTTCAAGTCTATGTAACTAAATTTGTTATACATTTGTAGTGTATTTTGTTCCAGATCTCAAGAGTATATCGTTCCTGTCATATTGAATGTATGATGGTAGCCACCATTAGAACATTTATTTATACTAGTCTTTGTGTTGAACTGCTTAGTAGCTATTATATAACTAATATGACGGCGGAATAAAAATATTTTCTACTTGTCACGGTACGTTACTATTATGCAATGAAACAACCGATTGATTGAAATCATATTACCACTAGCCTTGGATACTCAGTCCACTAGTCCATACACGAATTAGATCACGTTATAGCAGATATACAACACAGCCAATTATAGAGAACCTAACTACGGAATAGACAGTATTTTATGCTCTGCATTCACAAGCTGTCCATACTCAGTGAATCCAGAGGTAAAATCATTAATAAGAAGGAAACTGCATGTTAAGTAGTAAGTAAACGGAGAGACCATTTAGCCATACTCAGTAGCTAATTATATTTCATTTTCAAACATAAACCATTGCCTTCTTCAGTACGCTTGTAGTGAACGAGAACACAGGTGGGGCAACCGAATTGTATTTAACGAAAATTACAGAGGTACTCAGTAAAATCGGAAAACCATATCGTAAATCGTTCATTTGCAAAATATCATTCCATCATATCGAACTGGACTGTTCCTGTTGCAAAACATCAATCCATTATCACTGTTCATGCGTTTCATACAAATTCCATTGTGTTCTTCTAACTCTTCCTTTCTTGATCTTCCCCCATCTTCTGCTGCCACCAGACATTACGTTGACACTCACGTCATATACTACTTATAAGTAGCTCACACCACACGCTTATGAATGTTCAGTCCATTCCTTCATTGTAATTACCACAGACAAACAAAAAGACTGTAATTGTGAAATATCCTTTTGACAAGAATCTTCATTCAATTTTTTAGTATTTTGTACAACTTCAAACTCATAGATGTTAATTTATTATCTAAATTTTTTGTAGTAGTTCGAATTGTTAAAGATGTTTTTTTATGAACCTTTGCACCCGACTTTGATCATTTTTTTGTTCAATCTACAGGATTTTATATGGTCATAGACCATATTGGTGGGTTACACTGATTCATCCATTGGTTGATGCTGACTCATTATCAATTAGACAATATCCACTAACATGTGAAGTTGGACCTGGTAGTCCTTCAGGTCATTGTATGGTAACTGTAGCAAGTCTAACACCAATGATATGTTATTTCTATCATAAATTAAAAAAGTATGTATTTCGTTTTATTGCTATTATTGATTATTGAATTTCATTCTTAAACATTTGAAATCATCAATCAATCATTTTTAGACCACCATTAGAAACCTGGATGCACTGTAAGACGGCCGTTTCGTCCTGGTATGGGACTCATCAGTGGCAGTGCACATCCACGACTCCTGCTCCTCGCAGGATTCGAACCCGGGACCTTTGGCATTGTAGGCGAACGCCTTGCCATCGGACCACTGGGCCGGCGTCCAATCCTCACCCATTTGTCTTTGGTAGTTACTGCCTACACCCGACAGGGTTGAACTCCATTGGTCACGTCTTCTCAACTAGAACCACGAGAATTTCCTCACGAAGCTAGTCACTAGTGAGCACTGTTACGATATTTTGGGGCACAGTTTTGGAGGTTTGCGTTTTTACACATTTGAAATCATCAATCAATCATTGTTAGACCACACCATTAGAAACCTGGAAGCACTGGACGGCCGTTTCGTCCTGGTATGGGACTCATCAGCAGTGCGCATTCTTAAAGGAAAATGAACTTAAACTCTATGACAAGAAAATATTTAGGAAACAACTTTTGAAAACGTTAGTATCAAAAAAACATAGATATCTTATCAGAGTAATTATGTTGCTTGTTTGATGCGTGTTAATTAAACATAATGAAAATAAATTAGCTGAAAATAGTCATATGGTCTGTCATAAGGGGATAAAATATAAAAATTGTCGATAGTCTTAGTCAAAGATTTACGGCTGGATTGAAATTCATATATAGAGTCGTGATAAACGATTTTTACCACATCCGGCTGTAACCGCTTGATCAGAAATAGTCTACTCGATTTTAATAATTAGTTCTTGTATTTGGATAGAATATTCAAGCAAGTAATGCAAACTTAGACTTTCAGTTACACTGGATGACCCAAAAGAAACCGATTATCGTCATCATAACCAAACAGGCCTACATTAAAATCTGTTTAATACAAACAATTGATTGATAACATGGTTTGATTCTATATTGAGACATCTATTTTTTATTTTCTCTTCAAGCTCCCACAAACTTGTCCCTTTTTATTCATTCTTGTTTATTTTAGTCGAAACCATCAGCGATATTTAGTAACATTATGCTGTCTACTTTTTGGATTAATTGCCCTTAGCCGCTGTTATTTGGCAGCGCATTTTCCCCACCAAGTCATTTTAGGAATAATATCAGGTAAAAACCACTTACACTTTTGTCAACGTATTTTTGTGTCGGTCTTTTTTCGAAAACACATTATTGGTCAGTCACTGTTAATTGTTTGAAAACTCCGCCCGGATCCGTTCTAAAGTTAATTCCGATACAAAGCCTATATTCCCACACAAACGCAAACACAAATTGATTTGGGTTTAATTGGATTACGCTGCACGGAACCTAACTGATCATATTTGCATCAGTATTAAGTTCAGAAGGACGATGAAGGACATGAGAACCTAGAGAGGGACTGACATAACTTCAGATCATCACTTGGTAGTGGCCAAGATGAAACTGAGACTGAATAAGCACTGGAAAACTGAATGAACAGAATCACAAAAGATAATACGGCGTTTCTTTGGGATACTAAAAAACCCAACGAATTGTAGATACCCCTCAGAAATAAATTCCAAGCCTTTCACTTTCTACTCGATAAAGGGAATACTACCATGAACTGCAACTGGAAAGGGATCAAGGAGGCAAAGGCGTCGTGAGGTTTTGGGCTATAAGAAGCATCATCATAAGGAACTGAAGGAAGAACAAGAAAACAGCAATCAATAACAGTCGAACAGCAGCGGAGAAGGCTGAGGCACAAGCTGAACACACAGAGGCAAACAAGCAAGTAAAGAGGAGCATCAGAGTCTATAAGCGACAATGTCTGGAAGACTTAGTAATGATAACAGAAAAAGCTGCAAGAGAAAGGAACATGAAACGATTGTATGTTACAATAAAGAAGCTCCATGGAAAATATAGTACACCAAAATAACCAGTCAAGAGCGTAGAAGGTACGTCAGTCACCGATTTCCAAGAACAGCAAAACAGGTTAGTAAAGCAGTTTGAAGAATTCTTGAAAAGGCCAGCCTCACTGGACCCACCCAACACTTATGGACCATCCATCTAATATTGACCCACTAACAATTGAAGAAATCGGCATGGCTATCAGACAAATGAAGAGTGGCAAAGCAGAAGAACCAGACAAGATACCAGCTGGGGCAATGAAAGCCGTTACTGCAAAGATACTCCATATTCTCTTTAGCAAGATTTGCGGGGAAGAACGAGTACCAACAGTCTGGAAAGAAGCTCACCTAATCAAGATATCAACGAAAAGAGATCTCAGCAAGTGTGAGAACTACAGAGGCATCACTGTACTCTCAATACTAAGGAACGTCTTCAACAAAGTGTTGTTGAACAGATTGAAAGATTCAGTCTGGATTCTGTAGGGATCGATTTTGTACCAATTCAATCGCGACACTACTAATAATTGTGGAACAATCAGTTGAATGGGATTCATCACTTTACATGATTTTCATTGACTACGAGAAAACATCTGACAGCATGGACAGGATAACACAATAGAGGCTTCTTTGAAACTACGGAGTGCCTGAGAAAATGGTCAAGATTACATGGAATTCTTATGATGGATTAAACCGCAAGATTGTGCACGGAGGACAGCTCACAGACTCGTTCTGAGCGTTGGCCGGTGACAGGCAACGTTGCTTACTCTCACTCTTTCTCCCGGAGATCAACTGGATTATGATGACCTCCACACTTCATCTCAAGGGACGCACGAAATACAGAGGACAGTTCTGATGCAGCTTTGGACTTCGAGGATGACTTAGCTCTTCAATTCCTTACACAGCAATAAATACAAATGAGGACGGTTAGTGTAGCAACAACTTCTGCAGTAGTAGGTCTCAACATACACAAAGAAAAAAGCAAGCTCCTCCGACACAATACAACAGGCATCGACTAAATTATATTTGATGGAAAAGCTTTAGAAGATGCAAAAACCTTTACATATCTGGGCAGCATCATTGATGAGCAAGGTGGATCTGATGCAGATGTGAAGGCGTGGTTCGGTAAAGCAAGGGCTGTTTATCTGCAATTGAAAAACATCTGAATGTCCAAATAAGTATCAACCAACACCAAAATCAGAATTTTCAATATCATTGTCAAGACAGTTCTACTCTATGGGGTAGAAAATTGGAAAACTACGAAAGCCATCGTCCAAAAGATACAGGTGTTGATTGATAATAGTCTACGCAAGATACTGCAGATTCGTTGGTTAGACGGCATCAGCAACAACCTACTGTGGAAGGCGACAAATCCGTTTCTAGCAGACGAAGAAATCAGGACGTAGCGCTGGAAGTGAATAGGACGTACAATGAGGAAAGCGCCCAACTGCGTCTCGAGGAATGCCGTAGCTTGAAATCCTGAAGGCCAAAAGAAGAAGTCAACCAAAGAACACATTGTGTTAAGAATTCGGGAAATACATAAAGAGAATGGGTAACAATTAGGTAGAACTGGAAATTTTTCATTTACAGTTATGGAGATCTTTGGTTTTACGCATTGAAATCATGAATCAATCATTGCTAGACCACTATTAGAAACCTGGAAGCACCGAACAACCAGGACGAGACGGCCGTCCAGTGCTTCCAGGTTTCTAATGGTGGTCTAACAATGATTCATAACTCATTTTGTAGAACTGGAAAGCAGAGCGCCGGATAAAGTTCGTTGTAGAATTCTGGTCTGTGGCGTATGCTCTAATAGGGGTAACAGACAAATTGACTGATCATTTGCAGGCCCAAATATCAGTGGGAGATTCAAACAAACAATGTAAGTGGATTATTGGATCAATCAATATTAGACCACCATTGGAAACCTGGAAGAACAGCCCTGCACATCCACGACCCAGCACACGGGAATCGGACTCAGGATTAATCCTTAACGCCGTTGGGTGCCAGCTGAGCTGTCGAGAGGTCAAGCGTTCCCGCACGAGACTGGAGGTTCGATCCCCACGCTTGAGGTCATGGATGCGCATTGCTAAGGCGTCCTACACTAGGACGAAATAGCCGTTCAGTGATTCTAGGTTTTCAATGATGGTCTTATATTGACCGATCTACGATTTTAATGAGGCTCAACTATCTCCTTAGCTTTTAATTTAAAATTCACTGTCTTCGAAGAAAGTGCACATCATTATGATGAAGAAGAACTAAGAACGAAGTGACCCTAATGTGGGCCAAGATAAACAAACAGTGAGGTTGTATGCATCTTTCACAGAACTTAATATGTAACCGAGAAGGTATCATTGTATCCATAGTCATTTAAGTGGAAAAGAATGGCACCGTTCATAGATTTCTTAATTCGTTTTCCTAATGTGTTCATGAGAGCGTAAGGATTGACAGTTTTGAGTAAGACCAATGTAACTAACCCTGCAGGGAACAGTTAAATTGATAAATACATAGATGAGTATATCATTGGTCCCGTATCCCGTAATTTACTACGTTAGTATTGTCTTCGTTGCGAAAATTATGTTTAACTTATTGTCATAAAAGACAGACAGACAGACAGACAGATACAACACAGAACTTCATACGTATGTACATCAGTTCAGGTTGCCATACCGCATTAGCTCAGAGTTCAGTTCAAATCCCATAGTGGTAGCGATAGTAGAAGTATTAGCAGTAATGGAGAAGATTAGGTTAAAATTCAGTGAGATAAAGTTAGAAAGAGAAAGATAGAGATTTAATGAGGAATTCAGAAGGTTAGAATTTAAGAGAACACAAAGAGTGGATGCACCTTGGCTTAAAAGTTGTTCTATTTGATCTGCTAATTTGATGTGTTAGAATCTAACGCATTACATAACCTTTGAAATCAAGTCCTATACACAGAGGTCTCACCTGTGGAAGTTAGTATCCTGCTTTTATGTTATAACCTTTGAAATCAAGTCCTATACACAGAGGTCTCACCTGTGGAAGTTAGTATCCTGCTTTTATGTTAAGTTGTATATTGCTTCATGAAATTACCAGGGGATACAATTTGTAGAAGCGTCTTTCTCAGTTAGAAGAGTAGTGAGACAAACTGACTGACACACTGAAGAGATGGTCACTTGATTGAGATGAATTATTATTTTTAAAAGCTCTCAAAATGTGATTAGTTAATTCCTATTCCCAAACATATTATGATTAAGGTATTCCTCGGAGTTTGTGTCCATATTTATTTCGGTGGTATTTTTTACTTACATTTCTGAAACCATGAATCGATCAATGTCAGACCACCATTAGAAACCTGGAAGCACTGGACGGCCGTTTCGTCCTGGTATGGGACTCATCAGCAGTGCTCATCCACGACTCCTGCACCCCGCAGGATTCGAACCCAGCTCCTTCGGTATTGTGCGCGAACGCCTAACCATCCTAACGGTGTTAATGTCTAACTTGATCAGTTCAAATCCTGCGCGGTGCAGGAGTCGCGGATGCGCACTACTGAGGAGTCCCATACCAGGACGAAACGGCCGTCCAGTGCTTTCAGGTTTCTAATGGTGATCTAACATTGATCGATTCATGGTTTCAAAAATGTGTAACTTAACAATCCTCACAACCTCGTAATGCAACTTACATTTCTGTCTCTCTATTTCCATGAAAGTTGGTTATTTTCTGTGAAGAGATGTTAGAATTGAAGATATGAGATATTGTTTTGCTGTTCAACAGAAAATTAAGTAATCTACATCACTATGCACAAATAGCATTTGATTTTCTGTGTTTTATCTTTATTTTGCGTGACTGTAGTTATTATTGTGTTCACTAGTTTATGATTGCTTTTCTGCTTTATAACGTGATTTGTTGTAATATTGAAAAATGTTTGCCAAACAGAGCTGTCTACTAACTTACTTGTACAATAGTCTATTTGTTTTGTTCTCATGTATTCTTCTTTGAATTTAGGTGCCATAGTTGGATTATTGTTCACTTCAGTTGGTAGTTTTACTAGTTCACAAAATGACGACAATATGAACTGGTTACATAGACAATCTGTTTATCTTTTAATTCATCCAATTAGATTAATTTGGCTGGGCTTCAGTTCGTTCCTGTTCGCATACATGTTTAGCGTATTCTTAGAGTATGGGTTGAAATTAGATCCTAATTGGAGTATAACTTTAGCAAAATCAGCTTGCTTACGACCAGAATGGATTCATTTATCAACTAGTCTTATGATGGGATTTTCACGAATTGCTGCAGGTGCTACTAGTAAGTATCTATTTCCTTTGTGGGTAGTTATTATCTCTTCATATTATGGTTTCAAGGTTGACATTTTGTTTGAATAAGTTTATCAATCCTATCACCAATAATTGGCTATTCTTAGGCTCAGGTTATCACGTTTAATATCAACTTACTTACTTACTTACTTACGCCTGTTACCCCCAATCGAGCATAGGCCGCCCACCAGTTTTCTCCAACCAACTCTGTCCCAAGCTTCCCTTTCCAGTTCTGTCCAATGTTTGTTCATTCCTCTCATATCTTTCTCTATTTCTCGGCGTAGTGTGTTCCTTGGCCTTCCTCTTTTCCTTTTGCCTTCAGGGTTCCATGTAAGGGCTTGTCTCGTGACGCAGTTAGGTGCTTTTCGTAGTGTGTGTCCTATCCACTTCCAACGCTTCTTCCTGATTTCCTCCTCCACTGGAATCTGACTTGTTCTCTCCCACAGTACGTTGTTGCTGATGGTGTCTGGCCAACGAATACGAAGTATTTTGCGTAGACAACTGTTAATAAATACTTGTATCTTCTGGATGATGGCTTTCGTAGTTCTCCATGTTTCCGCTCCATACAGTAGAACTGTCTTGACATTTGTATTGAAAATCCTGATTTTGGTTTTGTTTGAAAGTTGTTTGGAGTTCCAGATATTTTTCAACTGTAGAAATGCAGCCCTTGCTTTGCCAATCCGCACCCTCACATCTGCATCGGATCCACCTTGATTGTCGATGATGCTTCCCAGATATGTAAAGGTGTTAACGTCCTCCAAGGCATCTCCATCAAGAGTGATTTTAATATCAACTAACAAATGGAAATAGATGGTAATGTTAAAACTCATAATTAAGACTAAAATGAAGATTGAGTTCTCGTACCTAGTCAATGCATCCGATTTTAAACTTTGTCATTCAAGACTTCCAATTATTAATTACTACATTTTTTTTGAGAGCAACCAGGAAATTTTCACTTCCCGGGACTACTTGCACAAATAATCAGTAATCTAATGGATTATTATTACCAAACAAGAGTTTGGAGACGTTTATTTCTATTCTGTCGAGTGTTGCATGTTAGATTAGTTGGTGACTGAACGCAGAAAATGTATCCCTAACCGTTGACCAATATCACATGACAAATACAGCAGAACAATAATCTGGATTTCGTTTTAGTCACAGTAACTTTCAGCCAACTTCAAATCCTTACTGTTTCACAACTTGGTAGCTTTTCTTTCTACCCTGACTCGTAGTCCAGAAGTCCTTAGCTAGCCTCCACAAAACGATTTTAATTCAAGCAGACATGATCTATATGTAAGTGCAGCAGGCTACATGGCACTTTAAAATGAGGAAATCCATTTATACACGAACAAAGCAAAAGTGGCTGTGAATATGAGAGACTGTAAATAACAAACTAGCAATAGATTAAGAATAAGAAGTCACACCACACTTGTTAATCGGAAGACCACAGATTGTGATAAACCATAGAAATGTATATTTATTAACCATGGCGTACCCACTTTATTTTGAGAAGGTAGTAACAATCTTACTTATTTACTCCTGTTACCCCCAATGGAGAATAAGCCGCCGACCACCAGCATTCTCCAGCTTACTCTGTCCTTAGCCCCTTTCCCCATTTCTATCCAATTGCTGTTCATTCTTTTCATGTCTATCTCCAATTATCGACGTAATATCTTCTTTGGTCTTCCTCTTTTCCTTTGGCTTTGATTGTCTCAAGTTAGGACTTGCCTCGTGATGTAATTAGGTGATTTCCGGAATGTATGTCCTATCCACTTTCAGCGCTATCTATTTAATAATACGAAACGATTACTATTTTTATCAGGTAAAGCTATTTAGCGTAAAAAAAACTTTGTTATGATAGTTTCTTCATTGAATAATGTTGAATAGCTGTTGTAAATATCTTATGTTTTCTATACATTGTGGTTTGAAAACAAACCTTTAGTTCATACAGAATTGATGTTTAAAATAGTCACTTGTAAATATTGTATTTCATTTCCCTAAATATCTGTTTATTTCATCGATTCATTGCATATGTTTCATTTCTGTCAGGTTTATCTTTAAGTTTACTTCTTAATAAACCAACACATTCGAAACAATTAGTACTGGGCACCAATTCCATATCAATTATTCTATTCAGTTTAATCATAGTGCTGATTAGTACAAAATTGATGGAATCAATATGTAATCAGTTGATTGATCTTTTTCCAATTCAAAATAATAATGAATCAATGATGAATTTGTTAAGTTTATTTCATCATTCATTTTTACAAAATACTACTATATGTCCATTTATGACAGTTTTCATTGTACCAACATGTATGAATTGGTTTCTGCATAAGTATAACAAATTAAATAATAAAATATGATTTTTTATGTAAAACTACTTCTATTCATCATCATCATCATCAACATTTTATTTTGAGATAAATATTAAAATCAGAAAGCTGATGATTTCAAGAGAACTTTTAAAACAGAACAAACAAAGAAACGACACAATACTTGCGATCAATATTACTTCAAAGATACCAACCATTTCAACTTGTTACATCATTACATTTATCTGGTTTATTGTTCTTTCAGAATAATTTATATATATATATATATATATATATATATATATATATATATATATATATATATATATATAATATTGATCAGTTGTTTGTTTTTTATTGTACTCTAATTTGACTCAATTAAAATGAATTGACCGTAGATTGTCTTATTTTTTAAAGGAGTTCATTATTTGTGATGTTTATTAGTGTAGTTAAAATAAAAAAATCAAGTTCATGGGGTATTTAAGTCAGTGAAATATGTGTCGGTTATTATTAAATATGATCAATTTATGTGAAAATTTAGAAGTGTAAAGATAATTTGACAATATTTATAAAGTAAATCATTCACACCAATTATGTACACTAGTACATATATAGTGATTATTTCCAATCCATGATCTCGTCAATTCGACCCATCCCGCTTACATGACTGTCAAACTCATTATTATTAGCAACGGTGATGTGCCGCAATACAGCACACCAATGACAATGACCCTCGGGAATGTCGCAAAACAACGACCATCAGTATCAATGAAATCAGTCACCCTGCTAACCAATTTTGTATGTTGACTGTTAGTGATGCTTGCTAAAGCAATGCCAAGTCATCCACAATGTTTATCACAGCTTTTTATAAATTCACCTGATGAAGTATTTGAACTTTTTTATTTGTAGAAGATTCCATCCACAGTCTTAACAGATGTACGAACGTAGTTTTTTTCGTTTTCGATAAATATTCATAATTATGTCAAGTACGTTGTATTTTTTAAATGCAAAGTATTGTAAAAAGACTAACAGAGTCCTATCCCAGTGCTCACTAATGGTAACAAGCAGTTATAAGTAGTCAAAAAGTTATTCTATGTGAATAGTTATTTGCTAGCTGGCGGTATTGTAACTGATTAAATCAATTTATGTGTGATGAAAGCCTGGTTCAGTGAGTTTTTCGATACTTGTTTAATTGCGTCACAGGATTAAAATGTGCTGTTTAGGTCATGTAAAAAAAACCTGGATGGTGCCTGATTCTCCTGATGAAAACCAATATGAAATTACCCTTTTACGGGGTATGTTTACAATATATTAATTTGCAATCAAAGTCACAGTGACTTATGCTAATCTGGGCTATCTTTGACACCGCTCCGATATTACTCTGACTAAAAACGGTTGGGTATACTATGTGATGACAAGATCAGTTCTCCGACATGCTTATGGTACCTGGCTTCTCCGATTTAAGGATTTTAAACAATCATCGTTGTCTCCAAAATATTTCTGACAGTCAGTACTAAAACTGTTGGTAAGTCAGAGGTTTGACAATGTGTGTTTGAGGATAGCGACTTAGTATCACAATTTCGAAAGATCGGTTACATTGGTTTGGACAGGTGATGCGAACGTTCTTCCAGCATTTGCCACACCGAACATAATTGGCAAAAGCTGGAACTAGTCAATACAAACCGTAAGGTAATCAGTTTATGACAGTATGGGGTGGTTTAAAAGAAAGTTGTTTAGGACTTGCATTAGTCAATTCATCAAAACTCCCTAATCGGGGCCCGAGAGATAGTAGGACTCAGTGGCTTGAAAAGTTAAAAGCCATGACTCAGAACAAAACCAAGTAGGCTCCCGGTAATTTTCTGTTGCGAGAAGCTTCTTAAGCTGGTAGGTTTCATTTTGGTTGTATTTTTAGTGACTGAACTATTCTTCCCACTATATGCTGTTTTCATCCTCCGGATCTTGGTAACTGATGTGTGGCTGAATTGAGAATCGATGGCTAGTAGCAACTTGGGCTAGTTCGTTTAGCACTGAGTCGACGTTGTGGGTCGCCATTTCAAAAGATGTTTTTCCCCATGCTTAAAGTTGGTGTTATCCAGATACAGGCGATTATCTGAGCATAGTTGCAGCAGACAGTCGCCATTTTCTGTTCGATAAGCTACAACAGTATAAGATACACCTTTCGGTTTCGTCTAGTCTATCTGCGTAATCATTAAAATCACCAGCCACTATAACTATATCAGGGCGCTTATGTTTATGAAAAATGAAAGTTCTCTGTAAGAATCATCTGGATTGCGATCAGTGGGAGCGTAGGCTAAGACAATGATGAGGCGACGGTGTGTCCCGATCTCTTCAGACGCTTACTTTGCCATTTATTCGGACAGCGCACAAACAATTATCTATTGAAATCCAGTCTGGGATGGTTGGTTCTGCTTTTGAACCTAGTGCTGCATCTATATCAGGGACGTCTCGAGTAGAAACATTGGATTCTCGAGATGGTTCTTCAGTTTAACAATGTGAGACCAATTGAATGACTTTACTTAATTCCTGCATACACGTTTCGGAGAAGCGATATTCATCGATGGTACCAAATTCTGGAGTCTTAGCTAAGGAAGCTTGTTGACCTATTTGACACAAGGTATAAGCATCAAAGTCTCCACGTAGTAGTTTGAAGCGTGGTTTCAGGAGACCAGAAATAACATTTTGTGAACTCAAATCATTGTCATTAGCGGTTCAAAGTGATAAGGATATTCGATAAGGGTTAGTCGTGGGAATAAGTAGGTAGGTAGGGGAAGGATTTGAACGCTAACTGGTTGGTCTCGTCTGCTGTTAGGGGAATGACGGAAATGCTATTTCCCAGCTACGAACATCGTAAAAGGATCTTTCGTGAGGTACTTAAAAAGAAAGCTGACTTAGTGTTGACCTGAGTGATGTGAGAGCGTGACTGCAGAGCCCAAGGAACAACTGTTTAAAGGCAGTCGCTACCGTTTTTTTGGGAAGTTTTTTGAAGTGTAAGTTCTGTAAGGCCTTACCATGAGAGACGGGAATGTATGGAGTAAGGTAGGATGTGACATTTACTAGTCCAAACTTTTCTCAACCCTTCCTTTCGTTATGAGGAGGCGACATTACTGCAGATTCTGTTTTTCCAAAGGGAATATCTTAATGCTGTCACGCCCCTCTACAGTTAACAGTACGACTTCGCCCTCAGACTTACTGAATATCAGGATAAGTATCATGGAGACGCGTACAAATTTGATTTTCTGTTACATGAAAGGCGATATAATGTTGTCGGGATCCTGTCAACATCATTATTCTTCCGATGCATCCTGTACTCCACAAATCGATTTCAGGGTTTTTCAAAGCTGGACATGAAACATTTTGTCCCGTAACTTTTAACTTCCTAGTAGGTTGAATGAAAATTATCTAGAATTGGCTGATGGGTTCCTAAAAATTATTCCATATAAACTCCTGAAATAATTAATGACTTGACGATCCAGGAAACTATTAATTAAATATATTTCCTAATATTTCACTTCATTTCTAGCTAACAGTTTGAAAAAGTAGAAAACTAAAAATGTATCATTACAGCTTTACGCTACTTATTAGTACTATGTTCAAAATTACGGTCATATTAAGCTGCAGCTAACACATCAGATGTGACACTTTAAAAGATTCATAAATCTGGAAATGTCAGTCGGGTATAATGCTTTCATAATGTATACAATTTCTCTATGACTGTAGAGAAGTTACATAATATTCTCTGACATTCATGATAAATGTTATGTATGCGATAGCGGCGTACGACAACAGCTCCAATGGTTTTGTTCGATCACATATAAGTTTTTATGATGATAATAATCTATGGTTAGAGACCTTGAATGACATGGCTCAAAACCATCTGCAATGGCGCCGGTGCATTTATTCTTTGTGTTCTCTCAAATCCTAACCTTCTGGGTTCTACAACAACTCTAGTTTTGACTTTCTAAACTTTTCTCATTTAATCATACTTCTTGAATAACATCTTCTCATCCTAACCTCTCCAATAACTTCTAATACCCTTACTAACTCTTCTACTATTGAATTTGAATTGACAATTACATCTCTGTGCTGATGTGGTATGGCAACATGAACTGATGTACTTGTGTACGAAGTTCTACGTTGCAACTGACTGACATAGCATTATTCCTGCGTGATAACACCCATCAATGTCTGTTTGAGAAATATTTTTTTAAATAAATCATAAAACGATCACTTCCAAATCGTCATATTTGTATTGGAAGCCACCGTTTTATAATGAAACATAGTCGATTAGATATTTCTTCTACACGTCACATGAAAATTGCTTTTTTTCTTACATGAGTATTTTCATGTTCAATCAAATTACTGAGAAATTCTTGTACTAGGTCTACGGAATAAGAGATATTCTGTTCATTTTGACTATGTAATATGTAGAATAATAAAAGTAATGTTAATGTACGTGCTGTACGTGCTGTACACTAAAAACAAAACTCTTTCTTTCAGTCACTTAATCTGAATTATACTTCTTTTGGAAATAATTATCATGAAAGTTAAATTTTACTTAGTTTTCTAAGATTTTTAAAGAAAAAAGAGTAAACATTGAATGTATGGAATTCAAGAAATATAGAAAAAAAGAGACAATCAAAAATGTGTGTTTTGTCTGAACGTAAATACGTCATTTTGATATGCTTGAACTATTACGAGTTTACCTAGTCGGAAAACGAGAGCGAGGACCCGGCGACACGACATGCTACACAAATCCGATTGTCCCAACCCCCATATTGAGTAAAAATAAGAAGACTTGATATGAAGTCGAACCTGTATTCTACAAGCATCCAAAACGTACGAGATCCGGATCCAGATGAGAATCAGCATCTCGGACTAGGAATCCGGGACCGGGTCTTGGTCCTGGTGATAAAACGTTACATATAATGCATATTTATACATTCTGGTCGAATAGGAAACAACATCGAAGTCTGTTACATTGACAGTCCGGATGACCAATAAGCGACAACATTGAAGTATTTGACTTTGACAGTTAAAACGATCATAATTTTGACCAACAGAAATCGACCTATAGGATTATACTTCCAAAAATAGTACTCTTAGGATATTTGATGAATATCCTAGCAAATAGATTTACAGTAAAGGAAAGAGGTGATGAAGAATCCTGAGGATTGGGATTTGAGAGAAGCCAAAGAATAGATGCGCCTGCGCCCGTCAAAGAACACCAGACCAAATCAGTCACAATCAAATCCTTCCTAATAAACCTCCT